TAATTACTGGAGTTATTACCCTTGGTTTCATTAATGCGATGCATGCGTTCCATGATGTTGTATTGCACTCATTGATCTACCAGTTATGTTGAATGATTTCTCTTTTAATATCAATTACTCACAAATACTTCATATATTTCAATCATACAAACAACTGCTCATTCAATGTGTGACGGGCGTATTATATACCGCTCGCGGTAACCTTGTTTCCATTACATAATCCCTGTACTTTTTGAAACAGATGAAGTTTAGCACATTAAGCTGTGTTTTATAGTAACCACAAATCAGGTTTTCCAAGTATAGAATATTTTACAGGACGGTTTTACCTTTTTTATCAAAAATTGTCCCAGAGATTTAGCAGTCTTGCAAACCAGACAATTTTGCTGAGAACGAAGATAGTTGGTTGTTGACGTTCTTCTGATTGGTTTACAGATTCTATGTATGCTCACTCAACACGCGTGTTCCGTGTGAACGGACTAACGTTGCCCTATGCCTGGAACCATACTATCACTTACAATGAGGATCTGGGTACCATGCCATACTTAGTACAAGACATGTACGTCCGTGACATTTCCACTTTTTCCCCAACTCCCACTGAGGTTGAATTCCGTATTGCGACAAGCATCAGTCCAGGTAATTACACAACATATTATTATATCATTATTAATTTGAATATGATATATGACTTTCACCAATATTCAAGGTCACAGGCTCCGAATGTGCAAAATGATAATGAATAGAGTACAGATATTTAGTATCAAGCTGCTCTGAGCGAAGTAGCTTGCTGAAAGAAAGGCAATTGAATTTGGTCAAATAAATTATCTTGACCCACGTCCTCTGGGCCTCTTGCTGTAAATATGGTATATTTTTTCTTCCTGTTTAGTCATGCTTCATATTGAGATAACACTTTGTAGAAAATAATAAGAATAAAAAAGACATGATTCTGTCATTAAAAATGTGAAGCTTTATTGTAAATATATCGTTTCTCTTCAGGCACTCCAAGTAACCAGTGTCCAGATGGATTCTATTTAGATACAGAAGGCCAGTTTTGTAGGGGTAAGTTTATGGATTATCTGTATTTGTTACCTAAACCTTGAATTCAGTATTTCCATTCATTTGCATTTCATTTATTTAATATCATAAAACTATACTCTGATGTCAGAAAAAAATATTCTTTCTGAAATATGTTTAAAGGGGGTTCACACTGACGCTTTTAAAGTAAAAGCCAGTGTATGTAATATCCTTTACACCTCAAAATAAATTTAGTTTATATTTTCACTTTAGTGTGGTTACATGTTCTGCACCTGATTATGGTCATCTGTCAAGGTTAAGGGTTCAGAAGTCTATTTACCACTTCAAGTGTTGGTGATACGTTTAATTTATCTATTGTTTGCCATCGCTTGATTTCTCAACCACCAACAAAACAAAAATTTATCCAAAAACCAAACACCGCCAATGTTACATTATGATGTGGAATATAACCACCTGACACACAATTTAAATGTTTACTTCAGACCACAGAAGACAATAGAAAATAGTTCTCTGTAACCAAAATAATGTTACAAAGTTTCATGTTGATGAAACTTTTCCTACTGAGGGACAATACATACATGTTTGTTATAACCCTAAGATTCCAATATAAAAGTTTTTCTCTTTTGACTGAATACAAAATTTTGTTCAGCCCTGACTGTGTGCATCTACAACTCCACTTTATGTGTGCATGTTAACAGATGTGGATGAGTGTACGACTACCCGACCCTGTTCCAGCTACTGTCACAACTCCCCGGGGACCTATGCCTGTTCCTGTCCATTTGGCTACGTACTTGACAGGGATGGGTCCAACTGTCAAGGTCAGTATGCGAGGAGAGAGATTTATTCCAATATGTTTAAAAGCTTACATGACTTTGTATTGGAGAACCATTTTAGTTAATTTACAAGAAAAGTAATTAATAGCTGTTTAAATTTTATTTTTATATTTAACAGACATAAATGAATGTGCCAACAATGATGGAGGTTGTTCTGTAGAACAGGAATGTATTAACACCCTGGGGTCATTCCATTGTGCTGTCTACTGTAAGAACGGGTTCAGGCGCTCACTTAATGACCAGTCTTGTGACGGTAAGTACATTTCTTTCCAAACTATGTAGAAAAAACTTTGTTTTGACATGAACAGGTATTATTTTATTGTCAGATCAGGATAGTTGCCAAACGGTTCCCTAAAGGGATTGTAGTGTATGCAACCATAGCCTCTAAAGACACTTGTGTTATAAAGCAGCTTAACAGAATAAGCCACCTCGGATGTGACTCATTCAGTAATTGTGATGTGTTTAATCTGTTGGGACTGTATAAATGCTATGTTTCGGCGGTGCAGATATTGACGAGTGCCATGAGACACCAGAGGTTTGCGGCCAGATTTGTAACAACATTCCCGGGGACTACCAGTGTTCTTGCTCTCGTGGCTTCATGTTGGTGGAAAATGGAAGATGTACAGGTAAAGAATTTTACAAATGTATTGGTTCTGGTAGGTGTACAAATTATAGCATTCAACAGGTGTACTGATAATGGCAGATGTTCAGGTAAAACACCTGTCCGGAGTATTGATAATGGCATGTAAACAGGTATAACAAAGACAACAGCTGTATTGGTACTGACAAATATGAATGTTACTTGACATGAAACATACTAAGTCCTTGGAACCTGTAAATTAAATGTTATTTAAACCATTGGTGTTGTCCTGCAGGGTGGTGAGCCCAAGGAGACTCAGAGATATTTGCAAAATTCCTTTCAACAAGAATATTTTGTACATGATTGCTTAAATATCCAGGTGAGCAAAACAGGCTCCATAGACCTGTTGTTAAATAAAATTTAACATTGTGACCATTATTAGCTCACAAAATGGATCATATTGTAATCAATTATATTATATGACATATTTTCAGTTATTATTTTGCATTGATGATGTTGCTTGTGTGTTACAGATGTCAATGAGTGTGTTCGTGGGACATCTGCCTGTTCCCACACCTGTAAAAACTCTATTGGAAGCTACAAGTGCGCCTGTCCCCCAGGGTTAAGACTACATGATCAACACACCTGTACAGGTGAGTGCTCGTGTTACTGTTTGATACTGTGGAACCTGTTAAATACCTAATAAATGAACATATATATAGAAACCAGACCTTTACAATTACGCTTTACACTGTTATTAAATTAAGAAATTCATCTTTTTTGTGAAATCTGAAAACCTTTATTCTGAGCAGCCTCAGTGACCCTGAAAATAAAATTTGATTAGTTTTATTGTATTTCTTGTAATCAGAATATAATCCTAAGCCAAAATAATAAATAAATATTAGTTTCTTGGGCCAATTTTTTCAAAAGTAAGGAGGCAGGCAAGAATTTTATTTATTATTCTGGCTAATGTTACGTTCATAATGATCACAACATGTATACCTCCCTGCAACTTTTACGTTTTTTGGTGACAAAATAAGTTAATGCAGGCATTGAAAATGAAGTTGATGGTGCCTGAGAAACTAACTATTATTATTTTTTGACTAACAAAAGCACTGCATAGCAGAACATTGTATATCTGTAACATATTGGTGAAAAAGAAACGAAAGTCACTGGCAACTCAGGGATGCTCCATTAATTTCATTGTAAATAATTAAAGTGTACTTGAAGTACGAGTTTTCACCAAATTCAAGGAGTTTCTTTTCTTCGTGATCTTAGTTCACCTGGCCAAACATCTGTCTGTCAACTATTTCTTTAAACAACATCAAAAGAATTAATGATATTTGGCAAGTAACTTGCTGGTATGGAGTACTACATAGTTTGTGAAAGGACATTACCTTAACTTCATGGTTTGATGTGTTGTAATATGTAGCCCTGTTTGATGTGTTGTAATCTGTAGCCCTGTTTGATGTTTTGTAATCTGTAGATGTGTTTGATGTGTTGTAATCTGTAGCCCTGTTTGATGTGTTGTAATGTGGAGCCCTGTTTGATTAGTTGTAATCTGTAGCCCTGTTTGTTGTTTTGTAATCTGTAGCCCTGTTTGATGTGTTGTAATCTGTAGCCCTGTTTGATGTGTTGTAATCTGTAGCCCTGTTTGATGTGTTGTAATCTGGAGCCCTGTTTGTTGTGTTGTAATCTGGAGCCCTGTTTGATATGTTGTAATCTGGAGCCCTGTTTGATATGTTGTAATATGTAGCCCTGTTTGATGTGTTGTAATATATAGCCCTGTTTGATATGTTGTAATCTGTAGATGTGTTTGATGTGTTGTAATCTGTAGCCCTGTTTGATGTGTTGTAATATATAGCCCTGTTTGATGTGTTGTAATCTGTAGATGTGTTTGATGTGTTGTAATCTGTAGCTCTGTTTGATGTGTTGTAATTTGGAGCCCTGTTTGATGTGTTGTAATCTGTAGCCCTGTTTAATGTGTTGTAATCTGTAGCCCTGTTTGATGTGTTGTAATATGTAGCCCTGTTTGATGTGTTGTGATCTGTAGATGTGTTTGATGTGTTGTAATCTGTAGCCGTGATTGATGTCTTGCAGACATTGATGAGTGTAGTGAAGGTACCAGTAGATGTAGGACTGGTGAAAAGTGTGTCAACTCTGAAGGCAGCTATAATTGTGTGCAGCTTTGTGCTGATGGCTATGAACCATTCGCTCCAGGACAGTGTCGTGGTAAGAAGTTTAACTTGTAATGATNTGTTTGATGTGTTGTAATCTGTAGCCCTGTTTGATGTGTTGTAATCTGTAGCCCTGTTAGATATGTTGTAATCTGTAGCCCTGTTTGATGTGTTATAATCTATAACCCTGTTTGATGTGTTGTAATCTGTAGCCCTGTTTGATGTGTTGTAATCTGTAGCCCTGTTTGATGTGTTGTAATCTGGAGCCCTGTTTGATGTGTTGTTATCTATTGCCCTGTTTGATGTGTTGTTATCTATTGCCCTGTTTGATGTGTTGTAATATGTAGCCCTGTTTGATGTGTTGTAATCTGTAGATTTGTTTGATGTGTTGTAATCCGTAGCCGTGATTGATGTCTTGCAGACATTGATGAGTGTAGTGAAGGTACCAGTAGATGTAGGACTGGTGAAAAGTGTGTCAACTCTGAAGGCAGCTATAATTGTGTGCAGCTTTGTGCTGATGGCTATGAACCATTCGCTCCAGGACAGTGTCGTGGTAAGAAGTTTAACTTGTAATGATGCTAAACTTTTTTTTATACTTTTATTTGGGGAACAACTGCATGCATAAAAATAGTTAAGGAATAATTTGAAATGATCAAAGTACAATATAGAAAGAAGGAAGGCAATACAGAAAGGCATTGTTTCTATAAAGAATATTTATAGACAGCAAAGAGCTATATATCATATGTTATTTTTTATATTTACTTGATAAGTGATGCTAAATTTCAAAATTGTACTGACAGATATTGATGAGTGCAGGACAAATGTACACCAGTGTTATGCCAATCAGAGATGTGTAAACACGGAGGGCAGCTACCAATGTAACTGTGATCCAGGCTTCATATCCAGGGGGCAGGGTCATCCCTGTATAGGTAAGTCATTTATCTGTGATCTGGGATAATGTCATTCTTGTATAGGTATGTATACATCAATGTAACTGTGATCCAGGCTTCATATCCAGGGGGCAGGGTCATCCCTGTATAGGTAAGTCATTTATCTGTGAAACTGACCAAAGTCAACGTATCTGGAGTAGTCTCATCCCTGTATAGGTAAGTAATTTATCTGTTAAACTGACCAAAGTCTACATATCTGGAGGAGTGTCATTCCTGTATAGGTAAGTCATTTATCTGTGAAACTGACCAAAGTGTACATATCTGGAGTAGTGTCATTCCTGTATAGGTAAGTCATTTATCTGTGAAACTGACCAAAGTCAACATATCTGGAGTAGTCTCATCCCTGTATAGGTAAGTCATTTATCTGTGATCTGGGATAATGTCATTCTTGTATAGGTATGTTTACATCAATGTAGCTGTGATCCAGACTACAGATCCAGGTGACAAAGACATCCCTATAAGGTAGGTCTGTAGCAAAACTGGGCTGAGTAGTTTACTGGTGACCAGGTAGCTTAATTGGTTAGAACATCGGTCTAGAGTTCAAAGGGTCTTGGGTTTGAATTTTGGTATAGCTGTGCATTTTTCCTTTCCTGTTACATTTGGTGCTCAACATGGGGCTCGTCCATGTGTTGGGTTGTAAGTAGTTGTGTCTTCGGGGGCAAAGACAGAAAAAAGATAAAAGAGTGTAGCGAAACTAGACTGGGTTGATTGTTGGCGACCAGATAGCTTAATTGGTAGAGCATCTGTCTAGAGTTTGAAAGGTCCCGGGTTTGAACCCTAGTCTGGCTGTTGCATTTCACTTCCTACTGTTACAGGTCATAACTAGTGTAACTGTGACATCAGCTGCAACCTTATAACAGGGTCATCATCCCTGTATAGGTAGGTAATTACCAGTGTAACTGTGACCTATACTACAGACAGGTTAACAGGGTCATCGTCCCTGTATAGGTAGGTAATTACCAGTGTAACTGTGATCTACACTACAGACAGGTTAACAGGGTCATCATCCCTGTATAGGTAGGTATTACCAGTGTACCTGTGACCTACACTACAGCCAGCTTAACAGGGTCATCATCCCTGTATATGTAGGTAACTACCAGTGTAACTGTGACCTACACTACAGCCAGCTTAACAGGGTCATCATCCCTGTATAGGTAGGTAACTCCCAGTGTAACTGTGACCTACACTACAGCCAGCTTAACAGGGTCATCGTCCCTGAATAGGTAGGTAATTACCAGTGTAACTGTGACCTACACTACAGCCAGCTTAACAGGGTCATCATCCCTGAATAGGTAGGTAATTACCAGTGTAACTGTGACCTTCACTACAGCCAGCTTAACAGGGTCATCGTCCCTGTATAGGGAGGTATTGCCAGTGTAACTGTGACCTATACTACAGACAGGTTAACAGGGTCATCATCCATGTAAAGGTAGGTAACTACCTGTGTAACTGTGACCTACACTTCAGCCAGGTTAACAAGGTCATCCCTGTGTAGGTAGGTAGTACCAGTGTAACTGTGACCTATACTACAGACAGGTTAACAGGGTCATTATCCCTGTATAGGTAGGTATAACCAGTGTAACTGTGACCTTCACTACAGCCAGCTTAACAGGGTCATCGTCCCTGTAAAGGTAGGTACCTACCAGTGTAACTGTGACAGGGTCATCATCCCTGTAAAGGTAGGTAACTACCAGTGTAACTGTTGCCTACACTACAGCCAGCTTAACAGGGTCATCGTCCCTGTATAGGTAGGTATTGCCAGTGTAACTGTGACCTACACTACAGCCAGGTTAACAAGGTCATCATCCCTGTATAGGTATGTACATGTAATTACAAGTGTTATGGTGACATAGGTTACAGCTAAGTAACACGGTCATCCCAGAATAGATAGGTCATGTACCACAGTTAATGTGACCCCACAGACTACATGTCCAGATCCAAGGGAAATGATCAATCCTGTATATATGTATATGTGGGTCATACAAGGCAACTTGCAATATATCGAAATTTCCTTTGTATGTTACAGTATTCATTTACTTCTTTCCCATGGTTATTATTCAGATACTTTAAAATTTCAGTGTATTCTCAAAACATTGCACCTTTTTTTTTTTATCTGAACTGAAACACTTTACAGAGTAGATATTGCTACAGACTTAGTTGCGTGTCATATTTTACTGATACCGTGGTAAGATAACACTTATTTGATGATACATCTCCCTGGTAAGCCCATGCCCAGTAATAAGTGCACCAAAATATATTGCCTATCAGTAGAAATAAGCTTAAATGCTATTTTATTGATCTGTAATCTTGTGTTGGCTCCATAAGTCTTGCTGCAGGATTAAGTTGGCTGTTAATGAATAATCTTAAATAAAGGTAACCATTATTGGTTGTGGAAAGTAGGTAACTATAAAATTAAAGAATTGGAGAAAGACGAGTTGAGCAGCAGAGTTGAATATAAACACATTTGTTTCAGATGTGAATGAATGTACTGAACAATCTGGGGTGTGTTCGTTCAGATGTCACAACACTTTTGGTGGATTTGAATGCATCTGTCCTCCAGGACAAATCCGATTGGCCGACAGAAAATCATGTGCTGGTACATACCTTTACTTTGCTAAAAGCTTCCCACCATATAATGAAAAACCCACCTAACTGCAGAGCACCGCAATCTAAACATAATCAATAATTCATCAATGCTTTATGCTTGTAACAAAATTCTTTTTTAAATTTAACCTGCACTAATGCATCAAAGTTGTTCTAATTGTGCTAACAAATCTAAAAAAGCAAAAACTATTTTCAAATTGCTATTAAAAGATCATAACTAAAACCTTACATTTCATATTTACAGAGCTTTCAGTTCAATTTTTTTTAATGGTTATGATAATTTTATGGAAAATTACCACATTCAAACATAATTTTTAGGTCACCTGAGATTTAGCTTTAGATCGACATTCGGGTCGATCAGAAATCCAATATGGCCGCCTTTTGAAAAACTATTTCAAATGGGCCGATTTAACTGAAACTTGGTAGGAATGATCGACTCATAGTTCTGACAAAGTGTTGTTATTTTTGGGTCGATCAGAAATCCAATATGGCCGCCATTTTGAAAAACTATTTCAAACTTAAAGTCAAGTTCTACTGGGCCGACAATTCAGGGTCCTGACAAACTTAGTTTAACGTTATCCTTAACTATTTTTTACTCAAATTGTTACATATTTCAACAACAAAAATAAATACTGTTGGACTCAGGTGACCGTTAAGGCACATGGGCCTTTTGTTAATGATAAGGATAACTTTAGGAAAAAAAGGCAGCTTTCGATTACCAGTAGCTACTTATTTTTTGTATTTTAGGCTTAGAGTTCATAGAACCAAGCCAGGTGCTCTCAGTCAATTCCCCCACCAGTCAAAGGTGGCAGCCTCAGAGTGATGGGGGGTCACCAAGGACTGGGGTCCCACGTACCTGTCGTTTTGGTTATCGCTGTTCCTCCTTGTATAGACATGCCTTGCGACGGCGTCACAAACGTGGAGCGTGCTCTTTTGGGATGCGTTATGTCCCCTCTCAACACACCTGTCTAGGTAAGCACCAGCACATGTCTGAAGGTCATAGGAGGTTACAAGGTCATTGAAATTACAAAGTCATTGAGTTCATTGAGAAATAGTTGTTCTAGGATGTTTTAGATGTCGTGGAAGTTCAGAGATTTTGAAAACCATTGTATTCAAGTATATTGAAGGTGATGCTAACTTTGAAGGTCAGCAGTTTTAGTGAAGGTCATGTGCACAAGCACTGTTTACGAAAAATAGAAAATAAATTAACACCTGAACAAATTTAAACAGGTTAGCCAGTTGAGTAAAAAGCACTACAATATGCATGATGTACATGTATAATGGATGACAATGCAGTGATGGGCTGCCTGTTCCTGTACAAATCCTTTTTTTTTACAGACATTGATGAGTGTACAGAGGACCCTGGAATATGTCAACACAAATGTACAAACACAGAGGGAAGCTTTAAGTGTACCTGTCCTAAGGGCTACAAAGTCTCACGCAATGGACGCAAGTGTATAGGTATGCACGGTTTATTATCCCCCCTGCAACGAAGTTAGGAGGGGTATACTGACTCACCCTGTCTGTCGTCTGCAGTAACTTGTAAACTCCATCTTAATTAACAGGCAGATTTTATTGAATCTTCACTTGAATGATCAAGATATTATATTTTTGTGCACTGGCATTTTTATTTCAGATTTTAACACTTTTTAAGGGAGTTACGGTCCTTTATGCGAAATAACTTCTCCGGAAACCCCAAGGTCAAGGTCACTAAATGATGAATAAACTACCAGCATCAGCGGGGGGGGTATTAGTTATCCTCAAGATGGCTGTTTTAGTTAACTTAGTCAAGGTTCCAGATCTTTTTTCCACAATTGTAAAACGCTCATTCTTATTGTGGTTGAGGAAAGTTTTGTGATATTAATCTTATATCGGTAAACTCGTTTAATTTGCTTTACTTTGACCATAAATAGTTTATTATCTCTCATGTTCCTGCAGTGTTGTTTCTGAAATAATTACATTTTGTTAAGAACACCATGATAATGTAAAATATTATAGCTGGTGATCCTAGTTGGAACATGATTTTTTTCTTTTCTTAGAAATTTAGAGTGCATGTCATTTGATTTAAGATGGTCAGTCAACACTTGATAATCATTCCATCCTCTTGAATAAAGTTATATGAAAATAACTACTTTCTTCAGATTTGTTTGATGTCAAGTTTAAATCTTTGTAGTATTCATGCTGCCTTTACTTATGTCCCTGCCAAAGGTGGCATTATGTGTTCTAGCTTGACTAGGACAGTTACTTTCTATTTTACCGTTATTTCCGAACAAAGATTTAGGAAAGATATCCTTCATAATTGTTATTATTTTATATTTACTCAATCAACAATTTGGTAAATTATTTTTTATCCTGGTCATCGACTGGCTTATATTATGCCTGGACATGGAATACTTTACCATATTTATACAGAATACATTACAAAGACAGTCTTATTTAATTTCAGATGTAAATGAGTGTTCCGAGCTGAGCATCGACTGTGGGCCAGACCAGATGTGTTTCAATACCCGTGGCAATTACCATTGTATTGCGACACCATGTCCTCCCAACTACAAACGTAACTCACGGTCAGGGTAAGTAGCCGACACAGGCAAGCATCAACATCTGTTGTACACACATGCCATCAATATGGCTTTGGACATTGAACTTTATCTTTTCCATTCCTTCCATCCATCCATCCATCCATTTGTACGTGTACAAGGGAATGTCTTTATAAGACTTCAGTGTTTAAAACATAATCTTGCTACAGTTTTTATACGCCCGTCAAATTTGAATGGAGTATTATGGTATGGCGTTGTCCGTCCGTCCGGCATAAGCTTTTGTTTGTCCGGCAATCTCCTCCTACATTTTTTGACCGATCTCTTTGAAACTTGGTATACATTATAATCATGATATGAAGTTGTGTCTCCCTTAAAAGAATTTTGATTTGACAATCTTTCCAAAAGTGATTGCCCTTTGTTCATTTTAGTACTTGATTTTTGTCCGGCAATCTCCTCCTACAATTTTTTAACCGATCTCTTTGAAACTTGGTATACATTATAATCATGATGTGAAGTTGTGTCTTCCTTAAAAGAATTTTGATTTGACAATCTTTCCAAAAGTTATTGCCCTTTGTTCATTTCAGTATTTGATTTTTTATCCGGAGATTTTCTCCTACATTTTTATAGCATGTCAGCTAACCACTTTTTGAATGATGCAGATCTTATTTCAATGTAAGAAAGTATATAACACTATATGGCATTCAACGGGTGTATATTGTTCCGCCCCGCGGTACTCTTGTTTAGCAAGGGATGAGAAAGAGATGTGAAAGCTAATGATAAATGTAGGGAAAAGGGATGAGAAAGAGATGTGAAAGCTAATGATAAAGGTAGGGAAAAACATGCCAAGATTTTGAAAGATTTACAATCCTTAATGTTCTAATTTCTGCTCGGTATTATATACCCCAGCAAACAAAGTTAAGCAGGGGAGGAATCATCATATGTATCACTACATGTATTAAATACATTATCGATGAACAGAAATATGCCTTTTCTCTATGATCAAAAGCCTGAGCTCAAAAATTCAATGTAGACTACTAGTTTCACTTCGTAGCTATTTTGGCTTGGTGCAATTTTTTTTGAAATTATTTCTGTAAATTGCTGCTTAATTTGAAATACTTTATTTCCTTCTGTTGCAGTTACTGTGTATTAGAATGTTCACTGTCGGATATCCCATGTCCCTCTGGAGCAAGATATGCTGATGTCATTGAGTTTAGGACGGTAGCTCTTCCTAGTGGCATTTTAGCATACCAGGATTTGATTCGTCTGATTGCATTTGATCAGAATGATGTGAAGCTTCCAAAAACAGACTTTACTATTCTGAGAAATGATGTAAATGTTAACTTTGAAATAAGACTGGAGGACGGCACAGGTATTGTGTACCCATTATCTCGCTTGGAGGAGACTGAACTATACAGAATCACTGTAAGAGCCAAATCATACGACAATGAACGAGAAAACATCCAATATCAGACTACATTCATCATACATATATCAGTGTCTGCTTTTCCATATTGATATGTCAACAACACTAGTTATAATGATTCATATATGTAATTATATGTACCTTAGGTTATTTGTTTACACCATCAATTCGTCCTGTAGGGTAGACTTTGTAACATGTGATTCACGATTCAACAGGTTCCTTCTGATCACCATTTAATCTCCATTAAATGTGTATTATTTGATCACCATTTAATCTCCATTAAATGTGTATTATTTGATCATCATACAATTCAATGAATTTGGTTTTTCATTTTATGTCTTAACAAAATCAAAGTGAATATCATTGGATATATTTTTTGTAATTGTTTGTTTAAATTCTTTTATTAATCAATAAACGAAGCTTGAATTAGGCTTACTTTTGTTTATCTTTTGCACAGAATTATATCAGCAGATTTTATAGACACACACCATATTATGTACAGGTTAAGTATTAAAAAACACCTTTTTATTTCATAATGATGCTGCTTTGAGTAAGCAAGCAATACATGACAGCTCCTAACAAAATATTCACATTATGTAATGATGCATTTCGTGTCAAAAGTATGCAAATAAGAAACAACCAATTTAATGCTTTTCTTGTCAAATTTGTTTGGTGGAAGTTAAACATGATTTTAGTTCCATTTTCCCTATTAAGAATAAAATGAATATCAACCTCAACCAAAAATACTATTTTGTATGTGTCAGTCATTTTATTCAGTTCTTGTTAGATTTATCAAATGTAAAGAAATATTTCTTTGTTGTATATATCCTTTGATGTATGAGAAGATTGAGGTTGCAAGAAAGTGTGTGAGATTAACATAATAATAGCACATGGCCAGATGACAAATGATCCTGTAGAATAGCCTAATTAGTTATACCTGTATACTGCATACTTTTATTTACTAGAGAAAACACTTACAAAAAAGATGTATTTAACGATTTTCCTGCCATGATATAACCTCCAGAATCTTGAATTGATTGCATGCGTTGAGCTTGTAGGCCACAGAATTGCCAAAATATCACAGACGCTATACTAGATTTTCTTGGTATATATGTTATACTATGTGAGATATCTGCTGTCATGAAATGTTGTCAATATACCTGAAAATTTAGAAGCACTGAAGCTTCAGTGGGTTAATTCAGTATACATTTTACATATTTCAAAACAATGAAATAAAATATTTGTGTGAACAAATCTACTTTGTTGTTATTAATTCTATATCTGATTCTTTCTTGCAACATGCAACCATCTTCAATTTTGAGAGGTAAAAAATTGTTATACCCCCGCAACAAAGCGTTAGGGGGAGGGGGGTATATTGGAATCAGGTCGTCTGTGGACGCAATGTAGTACTACTGGATGGATTTCAATGAAATTTGCTGATAACAATCCTTGCAGCTTGGAGATGTGCGTAAAGTCCTTATTATTGCGTTATCTCCCCTTTTCAGGAAGTTATGGCCCTTGGTTCATAAACCTTCTCTAGACCATGACATTGTATAGAAAGCGTAATAACTTTAAAAAATAAAAATTCAATTCTTTATTGAACCAATAATGTTTAACATATATAACAGGGTTTTTTTTGGTCAGGTTTCAACTTTCTGTGTTTTGAAAGGTCAAAGGTCACAAATGATTTTTTTCAGGCATTAATGCAATCTACTCTACTGAAAGGTTCCGGGGTCAGAGGTCAAAGGTCACGAATGAATTACGTTACCGAAATGGCTAATTATATCGGAAACAGTAGGTATTTTGTATACACATATACATAAGAGTATCGTAGCCAATTATGCAGGCTATATTATGACAAACTTACGAGATCTTTAGGTCAAAGGTCACAGATGCATTACCTTACTGAAATGGCTAATTATGACAGAAATGGTAGGTATTTTGTATATTGATGCAAGCTACATTGTGACAAAATTCACAGTAGTGGTGTTTGTCTTTTCCATCGGTCTGCAGATACAACATCTGAGGTTAGACTTTTTCATGACACTTGATCTTTCTATATATTTTTTTCCTTGTTTATTTAGCTCCTACAGGGGCAACAAGCAGCTGTAATTTTCGGGGTTATAAGTTAGCCCATAGACGACAGTTCTAGTTAGCACTATTTCTCAGAAAGTACTGGAGGGGTTTTCTCAAATTTTATTGTTTTTAGGACTGATCAGAAAACACGATGGTAACCAGACAAGCCATCTCAAGTTTTGATAGTTCAATTTTGTCATCATTTTTGTCTCGCTGCCACTAAGTAGCGGAAGCGAGACTTAGGTTTTGCTTTTCCGGCGGCGGCAACATTAAGTTTTTGCGTTTTAAGTTAGTTTCACTGAAAGTATAAGTGCTAGACCAATGAAACTTTGACCATAGACGTATCTTAGGTAGTACATCTCAACCCATGCATTGAATGCTGGATGTGGCCTACCTTTCTTGTTCCATTGACTTTGTCAGCATCTCCATCAACATTGACTTTTTGCATTTAAGTTACTTTCTCTGAAGTTATAAGTGCTACACCAACCAAACTTGACATGTGCATTAATCCTACATATAACAGTACTTGTTCCTTGGTAAACGCAAAGAATCCATCTCGCCAATTGATCACCCATCACTATTGCCTGAAGAATTCAGTTAAAATGACATTGTTTTACTATATTTCAAACATAACCAAGAATCGAGAGAAAATTTTATCTTTTATTAAAACAAAAATTAATAACTGCACCAATTCAATACTGTATTCAGTAGTTTTTATTCTTGTCTTATGGCTTTTCACAAATACAAGGGAAATTGTATCATTATTGGCATCCATTTTGATAAAATATATACATTTAAGCAAGTCAAGTGGATCCAGAAATTTGTTTTTATTGAGGAATATCTAGAAAAAATATAATTCATTACTGTTTTATAAAAATTTCACTGGAGCATATTTTCGTCTATACCATGACACTACACAAAACAAAATTGCAAGCAGGTACCTGAAAGTAAAAAGAAGTAGAGTTAACATAAACTGAAGGAACTTCTTCATTACAGCAGATTTAGACATTACATATGTTTATATTGAGCCTTTTATAAAAAGAAAGACAAAGAAAAACATACTTAGGGTATACATATAACCAGTTAACAGGACGACACATCTACATTTACATGTATATCAAAGTTTTGGATTTCAAAATTATAGACATTTTCAGAAGGTTTATACTTACAATACTGAGAGATAATATGCTAGATGTGGTTTTAAGTCTATAGTGATCTGACCACCGATTGGTCCCCCTTCTACAGTGCTATCTGCAACAATATTAAAAGATATTTAAAAACAAATTAGACAAAGAAATGAAAAAAATTCAATTTATTCGAGACCATGGTGGCCAATTCAGATTTCATGTTTTAGTTTTGTGAAACAATTAAATTTTCAGCACAATTGATTCGTGCGACTTTGAATGTGAGGCAAAGGACAGTGATTAGCAAGACTTGTCACTTATGGGCCAGGTGAGCTAAAAAGCAACCAAGATTTGCTCTTGAATAAATTCTTTCAGTTCTTGAGGTCAAGATCAAAGGTCATTGTAACCTCACTTAATATGAGACACAGAAACTTCCTATGATGTAATTCTATAAAGTTTAAAGCCAATTCATGACACCTGCTGAAATATGCTCTAGCTATAAGAAACCTGTAATTTAGTCCTTGAGGTCAGGGTCAAATAGAGGTAACAGTGGCATTGTTTAGGATGTAACACACTGCCTGCCCATGATGTACCTATAAACTAAGTGTTACACGACACACTTATAATTTTATAAACTTCACATTGTGGCCGCGACAGTCAGATCCCCTAAATTAAGTAAATCTTCTTTTCAACACAGTTCTGCAACATGACAGCAAATCTACAAGCTAACAGATTATATAGAGTAACACCATCAAACACATAGTTCTTAAGCAAATCAAGTGTGGCCTTCCCTGGCCTCTCTCTCCAGAGGCTAACTGTCTCGAACCTCGAATACAACATTAACTATTCATGAGTAAGTATCACCTATTGTACATAGGTAATGAGGCACATGCAGCAATTTAAGCTAATCCAACTTATTAAGCTAACTTTCCCTTTCCGAAACAACAATACTAGATATGCACCATATGGCATTGACAGTTACCCCTGTCTGTTTTGGGGAGTTCACACTACTCTCGTTCCTATCTTTTTATCATTCTTGAATGACCTGGTCGCCACTAGATGGACAGCCCTTTCGCAATGCACAGTGTTCAAAATCGCAAGATTTGACCTCAAATGTAATACTTTTGACCAAAGGGCTGCTCTCTATTGGTACCCTCTATCTTACATGTTGTAAGATGGTTCCATTCTTTATCATTAATGACCTCATTTACAGCCCATTTTCTTACAAAAGTTTGACACCCACTCATGAAAGACGGGCTGGGGTATGCACCAGAAACCAGTTGGCACAGGACAGATGAAGCTATACTCTATACCCCTGAATTCTTTTAAAGAGGAGATAATCCTGTTTAACTGTCATCCTTAACAAGATATAATGTAAAAACATGACTTCATGATTATTGTGAAAATATTTGAAAGTTTGACTTTAAAGTAAATCACAGTCAGATTTGGAACAAATTTAATAGCCATTCGACCAAGCAAGTTACAAGGTAGATATGACTCTTGGTTTCATGATTAAAATGAAAAGGGGTGTTTTGAAGATTTTAAGTCATGGCCTGTGAAATTTAATGTTGCTCAAAGTAATTTATTTGATCAATGATAGCCATGCAACTATTGTAAGCAATCAGCCAGATATTACTGTGGGCCTCAAGATTTATGTTTTTTGAAGTATTTTACAGAGTTTACACCTGTAACCTTGTACAGTAGACCTTCTCTATACCGGACACTAAAAACATTCCAGTGTGACTGGAGGTTAGGATATCAAAAGTTTCATCCACTTCATGGAAAGTCCAGCAATAATCACCAGACATAAATCTCTGCTTTAAAGTTTAAAGTACTGATTAGGTCTGGGAGGTGGAGGGGGTTTACATAATTTCAATTCCTTCCAAAAAAGGGGGAGGGGCGCTAATTATGGCAAATACAGCAATAAATAAATAAAACTAGAAAAGGTCTGTAAGACATGAATGCTCCCGCCACCATGTGAAACTAGAACACTGACAGGTCAGTAAGGGCCCCGTCTTGTGGCAATATAACCCCCATAATCATCAAGAAGCAATCTGCCCATATAGCTGAGCTTGATGTTTGACATTTGGACTTCAAAAAGAATCGCAAGAAAGCAAATATACATTTTACATGGACTATGATGTGAGTCTTGTTTCCTTCCACCTCCATATTTGCTTGGCTAACAGAAATGTAAATACCGGTGCAGTACTCATTTGTTAGCTTTGATTTGTTTTATTTCACCTTATATATCTCCTCCATAATTAGCCAGGGTCAAAGTCAGAGATCCACTTAGTCTTTTACCTTTGGACCCAAATGACCTTGACCATTAACCCAGTGACCCTGATCTTTGGTCAGTTGACTTATTCTTTAATTCTGACCAACTTTGTTTCATAATATCATAACAAAATGTTCATCAGTGAAAAATACAAAACTTGACCTTGACCCTTTGGACCCAGTGACCTGGACAAAATTTGACATTGACCTTTGACCCAGTGGTCAAATGACATGGCTTCAAAGTGTCTTAATGAAATGTTCACCAGCAAAAAAATACTAAATTTTACCTTAGGTCAGTTGACTCTTTGTTAAATTCAGACCAACTTTGCTTCATAAAGTCATAACAAAATGTTCATCAGGGAAAAGATACAAAATTTGACCGTGACCTTTGACCCAGTGACCTTGACCTTTGGTCAATTGACTCCTTGTTAATTCTGACCAACATTGCTGCATAATATCATAACAAAATTTAACCTTCACCTTTGACCCAGTAACCTTGACCTTTGGTCAATTGACTCCTTGTTTAATTCTGAGCAACATTGCTTCAAAGTGTCATACCAAAATGTTCACCAGTGAAAAGATAAAAAAATTAACCTTCGACTTTGACCCAATGACCTTGACATTTGGTCAGGTTGACTCCTTGTTTAATTCTGATCAACTTTGCTTCATCATGTCATAACAAAATGTTCATCAGTGAAAAGATGCAAAATTTGACCTTGACCTTTGAACCTAATGACCTTGACTTTTTACCTCAATGTGTAATTTTGTGAACTGAACATCTTGACCAAATTTCATGTACATCGGTCAATAAATACCAAAGTTATCAGCCAGGAACAAAATGTGTGTTCAGAAATGAAGTAGCTAAAGTGGTGACACTAAATCGGTTGATGATTCTATATATATAGCAACCGTGGCCTTGGCCTTGACCTTGGATACTGAAACACAATGATGCCCAACGTATACTCGTACTTGACCTTTGTATAAAGTTTGACGAAAATCTGTGTAAGTTGCCAAGTGTTTACATTAAATTGGGACGGCAACACTATACTCCTCCCCCCCTCCCCATTTTATGGCAGGGGCAAAAAAATAAAAATAATTTGAAATTACAGGGAAATTGTCCTGTATCTCTGTTGTATAGTATTTTACCATTCTTTTATTCATTATCTGATTTTTCTTTCAAAGTAAGCTTTAAAACATTGTATACAAACATTGTGTATTCATTTTTAAAAAAATGATGTCACTAGGGTTCATGCATGTATGATGAAGGCTGAAATATTTTTCAATTGTTCAACACAATTGAACAAAAAGTTTCTAAAAGTTTAATACCTAAAAATGAAAAGGAGAGGGAAAAAATATATGGATTGCTATAACACATTTACAAGGATCAAAATAAACAAATTGAATTTGCTATCCTTTTTCAATACCTGGTCATAAATGAAAATCTGTTACAAAAAATAATACAGTAGAGCCATAACAATGAATCGCAATGAACATGGAAATGAGCAACACCATATGCCAGTCCTCCACTCTCAATAAATATATCAGTGTCTACCTCTTAATATTTGGTGAATGGATGGATTATATAACACCATAATACTCTCTGAAAAGGCAGATAAAATAATTGTCATTTTCAGAACTTCCTTCTGAATTGCTGCATATAAAGGGTTAAAATTATACCCAATCCTGTTGAAGGATTTCTCTCCTCCTGTGTTTCAGGTAGCTTAAATAGGGAAGCTAAAATCCATGACAATAAACATACCAGAAACAGCATCCAAGTAGACTGGTAGACTATTTGTAGATTTAGCTAGGCTTTCCACATCTCGTGTATAAAACTCGTGAGGATCATTGCCTAATGAATTGGTTAGGATAAATCTCTCCTGGAACGATGAAAAGTTGATATCAATTGTAACACTACCACAAAAAGTATTGTGTACCAAATTGAAATGTCATCATTTCGCTTCTTTTAAAGAAATCATTTCTGGAATCATCATTAATACCATTAATTAAATATCAATACTTTTTTTCACAATAAAACAATTAGGATGATTGGAAAGGGTTTGGGGTGATATATACCAGTAAAGTAAAAACTTCTTTGGACGTTTTTGTGACCTTTCATCCAATTTTTACACATGTATGATTTATCCGTACAAAACCTTAAGAAATAAATGTCTGACTTACCCGTTCAGATTGTTGAAGAGTACCTACTAGTTCCACTTCACCTTTAATCTAACAGAAACAATGTATCATAAATAGTACTGCATCAATTGATCAAAGATGGAAAACTTTGCTAAAAATGAAGTTGGATATCTTTCTTTGGTATCAGAGATGTCATTTAAATTGAAATGTTTTGTAAAATATAATTCATTTAAGGATCAAGGTAGCATATACCCTTATACAATTCATAGGTATAATGAAAATATAGCATTTACCTTACACAAATCACAGATAAAATGTGTAAGGTAGCAAATAACCTAACACAAATCTCAGGTATAATGTGTAATGTAGCATATAACCTTAAACAAACCACATTTATAATGTGTAAGGTAGCATACAACCTAACACAAATCACAGGTATAATTTATGAGGAAGGATATTTTCTTAATAAAGACAGCTTATTATCAAATAAACGCAATTTCTATATTTCTTCTCTTTACATTGTTTAACATCATAAAGGTGATTATCAGATTAACATTACATATATTGTACGCTTCAGAAGAATAGTTCAGGAGTACACAAATAATGAAGTTCAAAACATCTCAAATATTTGAAAAACAAGCAAATTCGTGGAATTTATATCACCCGCTTGCAGGACATATTATTGATGTTAGGTTTAAACATATGAGTATCCTGCAGTTGAGGCATAATGTATAGCTTAAAACTTGAAGAAAAATAATTCCCTATACCTCGTTGATTATCTGCATGTAAGGAATTGGTGGAAAGACAGAGGAACACAAACATTGTTATCAAATTTGAAGGAATTTGGCTAATATTTGCTAGAGTTAATAAGCGGAAACTGCAGATAATGACCTTTTTCGTTAATCAAGGGGGCATAACTCTGTCAAACAAAGCCTGATTAAAGTGGTTGTCATACTTGACCGAGCCCTAAATGCGTTGAACCCTGTTACTAAGTTTGAACACAATCGGATAATATTTGCGAGAGTTAATGAACAGTCACGGCAGATAATGATGTTTTTCGTTATTGAAGGGGCCATAACTCTGCCAAAATGGGGTCAGCTGAAAGAGGTCATCAAACTTGGCCGAGCCCTTAAGGAATTCAACCTTGTAACCAAGTTTGAAAAAAATCGGTTAACATTTGTTGTTGTTATTGCACGGAAACGAAACGCAGCAGATGACGTTTTTCATTATTCAAGGGCTCATAACTCCACCGAATGGAGAACAAATACTAAAGGTTATTGTAATGATTTCAACACTAGCTTGCACCAAAACCTTAACCAACAGGAACTAAATAAACCCTCCATTGCACCCCTCCTTTTCTTTGAACAGTCAGTATTTACCTGTCCTTTTAATCGTGAACTTGGATCCTTTTTGTTCTTTGGGATCCAGCCTCTGTTTATAAGTATTCGTTCTCTGAAAACAAAGTACTTTAATTTTCATTATATTACATAAACAAACATTTCATGGGTGATATTTTATTAGTACACATGAGAAAAAAAATCTAAACAATGGATTGACAAATTTAGAGTTATTCAAAACAACCCATCAGAATATATTATGTTTATAGGTGTAAACTCCGGTCAGTGATTATTAAAACATTGAAGTTGAATGAAATCAGAGGTTGAAGTAAGATTGCAGTGATCTGATATGTTCGTTTTGTCGTCCCGTGTTAAGTTTCATATTCCTGTAAGAAAGGGTATATGATCTGATCACATGAGAAATGCTACAAAAAGACAGTAGTTATAATTATAACTTACCCTGTGTCTTTACATTACACTTATAACTTATCCTGTGTCTTTACATTACAGTTATAACTTACCCTGTGTCTATACATTACAGTTATAATTTACCCTGTGTCTTTACAGTACAGTTATAATTTACCCTGTGTCTTTACATTACACTTATAACTTACCGTGTCTTTACATTACAGTTATAATTTACCCTGTGTCTTAACATTACAGTTATAACTTACCCTGTGTCTTTACATTACAGTTATAACTTACCCTGTGTCTTTACATAACGGTTATAACTTACCCTGTATCTTTACATTACAGTTATAACTTACCCTGTGTCTTTACATTACAGTTATAACTTACCCTGTGTCTTTACATTACAATTATAATTTACCCTGTATCTTTACATTACAGTTATAATTTACCCTGTGTCTTTACATTACAGTTATAATTTACCCTGTGTCTTTACATTACAGTTATAACTTACCCTGTATATTTACATTACAGTTATAACTTACCCTGTATCTTTACATTACAGTTATAACTTACTCTGTATCTTTACATTACAGTTATAACTTACCCTGTGTCTTTACATTACAGTTATAACTTACCCTGTGTCTTAACATTACAGTTATAACTTACCCTGTGTCTTTACATTACAGTTATAACTTACCCTGTGTCTTTCAGAGTGAATGGTGTAACAACCAGTAATCCACATTTTTCTGACTTTTTGAAGACTAATAAATTTGACTGTGAATCTTCATCTTTTACAAGTTCTCTAGGTCTGATGTATCTTTCCATTGTGTGATCAAACTCCCCAATTACTTTGATACGCCTGTATTTCATTTCTGTTTCCGAAAGGCCCTCCATACTGGAAAAAAAATCATGCATTTTTGAAGCACTTCTCTTCCTATTTCAGCCAATGCATTATGAAAGTGATGCAACTTTGACCAATAATCATAATTCATTTAGCCCCGAGTATGTATACATAAGTGTTAATAGAATAGAGGTTGTCAAAAAACACTTCAAAATAAATAGTGTATTTAAGTGTATTAAGAATATCCAGTACAATGTATATTTCATCAAAGGGGATATTTTAGTTCTTCACAATTTGTTATAAGATATGTTGATGGTTTACAAAATGGATTGGGAGGATTATCCCCTATATTTCTAGTGATTTGCATTACCAGGTACTGGTAATTGTCTGGCTCCAACAGACAGGGCTGGGGACGAGCAGGGGCTATAGCATATATTATAAGTACTCTAAATGGAAATGACACATATTATCTGGGAACGTTTGATTTATATGATTTATATGAACTAGACTAGTCCACTGAAACAGTCAAAATCTGGGAAACAGTCCCTATATGGTTTAGTTTTTCTATATATGTACAGATATTTTATGCAAAGTAGGGAACCTAATTAAGATAGATTGATACATTTTGTTAAGTAAAACACAGTCTTATCACATTTGTAATATAATTGTACTTACTTATAAGGTAATGGAATAGGTTCTTGTTTTATTTGTTCCTCAAGAAACAATGTATCCTTCTGATTAGTCTGATAAAAAAGCGCTGTTCCCAGACACAGTCCAACAGGAACTGCCTATAAAGCAAACAACTGTTGAATGTAAACTTCTAAAGGTAGGGTTTCCAAATTTGTCCACAAAGACAATTTGTTTAAATTTCTAATTAAGTCATGTCATATTCTAAGTGAATATCTATGCTGTTTAATGCTGAGCCATTTTTCAATACAAAAAAAAATCTAAACCCTGCAAAAAGACATCCATGGATGTTTTTATGTTATAGAGTTATACCATTTTTAAAATGGTGAAATAATTCTCAGACATAAATGATTTATAGCTGTTTCATGCTTAACTGATAATTATAAAGGGCAGTTGGATGAAATCTGCTCAAAAATTTTCAGGAAAAAACATATTTTAACATATTGTCAGCATTTCTAAACGATCAAAGGAAATATTCAAAATAGTGTACGTCGTTAATGGTAACGTTCTAGAAAAAAGGACATCAAATTCCCCATCAATATCTGAGAGAATTTCTTCTAAAATATTGAAAAATGTTGAATGGTCACCTTTGACCGGACAGCAAGAATTTTAATTAGACATTTTTTTTTCTTAAAACATGTAATGAGAAAAAGTTAGCACTGACCAATATTTACATGAATGCTGTATAATCAGTAGTTTTTTAGCTTAAGTCATTTAAAGATTTTTACATACAACGTCAAGGCTGTCGAAGTAGATACTTACAAATATAACTGAATCTGATAAGACCAGACGTCTTCTGAAAGTCGATGGTGTCTTTCTTGGGGTGCTTCTTAAACTTCTTATATTATCCATTCTAGACTGACGTAGCAGAATCCTCCTCTTAAAGAAACCATATGATTTTAAATTCACCACTAAATAAATTTAAAATAAGTCACTTTAATCTTTGAGGAACTCTTGGATTATGAGTCTTTCAATAGTGGATAAGAAATGTTCCCCTCAGACTGAAATAATTCGACTAATGTTGAAACAATATCTTCTCTACTATTTTACACACTATAATTACGTATGAAATGGTTGTTTTCAACCTAGTAAAAACAATATTGCTGCTGTTATTTAATACAGGAATCTGTACTGATTGTAGCCTAATACATGTGACATGTTCAAAGCAAAATGTTAATTGGTCATTCAAAATAAACCTCACAACTGAGTGAAATATTTTCACAATTACAGAATGCAGTTTGGTCCTCATATAATGAACGGAGAGTGCACAACCGGATGCGAAGTCAATCTTTTCACAGCAGAGGGAAAAATTGAATACTTATGTGTTTCCACCCGGCAACTTTCTACCTAAATATATTCATCAATATATTTGTGTATTCAATCACCCATTATGTGTTATATGTAGTGCAAAAACTTTGGTAAGGCTGGTTACTGGCCCCAATACACTACCTTGTCCCAGTCAAACACTTTCCAACATAGCGATCGCCATTGTGTTCACATTTTTTATTCTGTTTATCAACAACATGATTAGTCAACCCATCAACTTTGATCATGATAATGACATTTATAACTCATTAACTTTGATCATGATAATGACATTTATAACTCATTAACTTTAATCACAGGTCAAATATTGAGGAAATCACTGTTTTTTATGAGCAACTCTAAACAACTAACTGTTTTTGTTTTGAGCCTACTAAGGCTACTTCTCTCAGGCGAAATACTAGTACATATACATGTGGGTTATGTGAGATACCAGTAACATGGGAATGCGAAGGTGTATGCTGCGATGAGTGCAGAATTTGGCATCACCATTCATTTCTAGAACTGTGTTCAACAGACTTTGACCTCATGCAACACTCTAGTGTGCAGTGGCTATGTTGTAAATGAGACAGCATAAATGTGAGCTCTTTCACTTTCAGAAGTTACGAAATTGATTCCAACTATTATGCACCTTTACAAAACACTGATATCACACTGAAATCTATAAACTCATCAATATTCAGACCACTTAAGACAAGTAGCCCCCACCTCGCCACGAATCGTCCTACAGGACCATCACTCAAAATTCAACAGGCACCAGTAAGCACTGTCACTTATTGACAGGATACCTCAAGAAGAGAAACCTACAAATTTTGAACATTAACTGTAGAAGTGTTAAATGGATAAACGCTCAAGAGTTTTCAGCTGCTATTTAATATCTCAATCCCCAATAAAGTTTGTGGTACGGACTCGTGGCTTTGCAGAATGAAGCCAGGAACAACTCCAGGGAAAGATGCAACCAAATCCAGTGAGGTATGTCCCATTCACTATAGAGTGTACAGGAATGATAGATCCTCTCTTGGAGGGTGTGTCTTTATACTGATACATGAAGACCTTATTTCAGTTGAATAACCAGAATTTATGTCCACATATAGACTGGAACTCTATGTCAGTAACTTCCCTAGAGCAGATAGACAAGTACAATAAGACCTAGTAGATATATCAAACAAATAAACCTTACCCAGATGCATTAACTACCAACTCATCAAGACAATGTTCTAAGGCTCGGTATTTACCACCAACCTGTCATTAGTTAAGAGCTCAAATACCTGTATGTAGTCCCTGGAATTTCTGATCATGATATTGTTGTAGTTGAATCTGACACCAAACCACACTACAATACTCAAAAACCTAGGAAAAGCTACTTATACAAGAAAGCACTGGGAGGCATTATGTACTGTATGAATCACACTGAGAGAGAAATCCAACAACTCTGTAATGAAGGTAAGAACATTGAAGTAAAATGTTAAACCCTATATCCTATCTAGGACCCTCCAACAGCGAAATTCACCACTATGGCTTAACCATAAACTACGAAGAACGAATAAGAAGAAAACCAGACTACATCGAAAAGCCAGTAAGACAGGGAAATGAGACCAATACCACTTTTTTCAGCATGAATGTAAGAAAGTGTTCAGGCATGCTGAATGTTCCTACATAAACAACAACATACAACAAGGTTTCGCAAATAACGACTCTAAACCTTTCTGGAAATATGTTAATTCCAAACAGGAGGGCAATATTTGAGTATCTCTACTTAAGCAAAATGTGAAGCTACTAAGTGAAAGCAAATCAAAGGCTGACATATCAGTACACCAATTTAGCTCAGTCTTTACTAGAGAAACATCAACAGCTAAACCATACATATACAAAAGTTGTAATTCTGACATTGGAAACATCATGATCATCATTAAAGCAGAACGGGTACTCAAACTAATCAACATTATCAAAAGCCTCTGGGCCAGACTCCATCTTAAACCAAGTTTTAAAGGTTCTGCTCCACTGGCTCCATCTGTAACGCTCATATTCCAAAGATCACTTGATACTGGAATGTTACCCAAAAACTGGCTCAATGCCAACATAGCTCTGAGCTCCTGTCTTCAAGATTAGGGAGATCGCCATCACGCTGAAAACTATAGACCAGTTTCTTTGACATCAGTTCTAAGTAAACTCCTCGAGCACAGAGTATGTAGACATATGATGCGTCATTTTGAACACCGCAAAATACTTATATCCCTCAACCATGGGTTCCACTCAGGTAATTCATGTGAGACACGGTTATAGCAGTCACAAATCAAACACGTTACAACTAGCTTCGACAAAGGATGCCAGACTGACAACGCTATATTGGACTTTACTTAGGCTTTTGACACCATGCCTAAACTGATAGATTACAAAATAAACTTAACGCTTATGGAATGCATGGGCATCTCCACAAGTGGATTGAATCAATCCTATGTAACCCCCTCATGAAGGTTGTAATGGAAGGTGAAAGCTCAAAGGAAATGAACATAAATTCTGGCGTCCATCAAGAAACCGTCCTTGGACCCCTGTTCTTCCTTTGTCATATGAATGACTTGCCAGACAGAGTAAGATCCAAGGTACGCAGGAGACTGTCTACTGTACTGAGAAGTAAAGTCAAAGAAAGACCTTCAACAAGGCCTGGAAAATTTAGAACTATGGGCACAACAATGGGGCATAAGATTTAATGCCACTGAACGCTGTACAAATTGTACAACAAAAGTTTGCATATTTCTACCAACTGCACTGCACCATTTTAAAAGAAGTCCAGACAAATCCGTACCTGGGGGTTACCTTGTCATCTGACGGCAAATGGACAACACATCTCAACAACATACACGTACGAATTAAGAAAGCTAGTTAAACAATTAGATTCATCCATATGAATCACAACATTGTCCCCAAAACACCAGGAAAACAGCATACATCTCCTTAGTACTAGGGTTGCAACGATATATTGAGATATTTTGAATATGGTACGAAACATATATTTTTGGACTGGTTAGATACACCAATGCTATTTTCCGGATTTTGTTGTTACTGAACTAAGTTTAGCTCCAGCCCGGCATGCACATCGAAAGTCATGAGCTGTGTGAAACTTTTAAGTCATGTCCATTTCGAACCAAGTCTATTACCAGTCGTAATATTGCCATTAAAAATTTGCAACATATCTTTTCTATTTGCTTCTATACTAAAATGTTAATTTATTTATTGTATCGTGACCACAGTATTGTGATACATCATATCGTCGTGTTAATGTATTGCTGCAGCCCTACATAGTACAATCAACCTTAGAATATGGAACCATCATATGGGCCCTAACCTGCAATCTGACATTACTTAGATGGAGAAAACCCAAAGAAAATCTGCCCGATTTATGTCTGGGGACTACAAATTGAGAACACCAGGAAGTGTCACAAATATGCTCAAAGACCTAGACCTACCATTACTCCAGCAAAGAAGGAAGGAACTAAGACTCACTTTCCTGTACAAGCGACATCAGAGGATATGTTATTCATATGACTATAACACACTTTTATACCAAATTTCAGTTTGATATTTGAAAAATTGACAGGTTATCATGAGGTAAAATTTTACGATGTACAAGTATGAAAATTTACAGCGTATCACACATATGTGCACACATATAAGGACTTTGCATAGCTGAACACGGCCAGCCCAGATTAAATTGCTGTATAAACACTGGTATAACATTTTGTTTGTTTTATTATTTGTTGCTTTCCTCATCAGAATCAGAATGGATGATTTTTTTCAGTTTCATTCTTTGTAGAATTTACCAGACGCTACGGAATCTTGGTCCATTATGATATGTGTTTGTGTAACCACAGAATTAGAGACTATATCTCTGTTATGTGTTTAAAAACATATACATATTTATAAGTTTGTAGACTTATAAATAAAAAAACGAAAATTTGTCTAAATCCCCCAAACGTGTAAAATTGCTCTAAACACCTTAGTTTAGGTCCAAATATAGCTGTAACATACTAACAACCAAATTCGTGGAATTTATATCCCCCGCTTTTAGGACATATTGTAGGTAAACATTATTGATGTTAGGTTTAAACATGAGAGTATCGTGCTGTTGAGACATAATGTATAGCTTGAAACTCGAAGAAGAAACAACCTTATCTTATATTTCCTATAGTTATTAAGCGGAAACTGCAGATAAAGACTCGGCCAAATGGAGTCTGATTAAAGCGGTCATCAAACTTGGCCGAGCCGAGTTACCAAGTTTGAGAAAAAAAATGGTTAAGATTGGTTCCAGTTATTGCACGGAAACAGTAATTAATGACGGTTTTCATTATTCAAGGGGTCATAACTCTGCCAAATGGGGTCTGCTAAAAGTAGTCATCGAACATGGCTGAGCCCTTAAGGCATTTAACCCTTTTAACAAGTTTGAAGAAAATTAGTTAACATTTGTTGTAGTTATTGCTTGGAAACGAAACGCAGCAGATAATGATGTTTTTTGTTATTCAAGGAGCCATATGATAACTCCGCCAAATGGGGTCCGCTGAAAGTGGTCATCAAACTTGGTCTAGCCCTTTAGGCATTTCACCCTGTGACCAAGCTTGAAGAAAATTGATTGACATTTGTTGTAGTTATTGCACGGAAACAAAGCGCGGGAGATAATGACATTAATTTTTTATTAATCAAGGGGCAATAACTCTGCCAAATGGGGTCCGCTTAAACGTTGTCAATTTTTCAAATATCAAATTCAAATTTGTCGGTTGAAGACGCTTTTAAGGGTGACCATTGATTTCAGCCATATCTGATGATCAGTAGCTGACACCAGTATTGAACAAGCGTAGGATTAAAGATATTTACATACTTTGAAACCAGCAACATTGTGAATTAAGCATCAACAGTAGACGGTGTTTTACACTACAATTGTCTGTTCCTACTCATTTTTTGTACAACCTGTTAAAGACTGCATGAACTCACTAAGTGACCAGTTTTCCAGTGAAAGTGAGATATATAGATCTAGCCTTAAATTTTGACTAGTTAGCTTATACATTAATAAACTAGTGTTGTTAATGCACTCTCCGTTACCTGTTGATCATTATGCAAGAATTGGTTTTTCAACGTAACCGTAAAGATAAAGAATGACAATTATTATACAATGACAAAAGTAAGTAACATCTAGCATTTATATTATATCCTAGCTTTCAATATATTCAGTTCTATCATGTACCGGCTATACATCCCTTGTCTGCACTTCAGCAATAAGTGCTTATTTTACAAAAACGTCAGGACACAAAAACATAGAGACAGATTGCATTATTTTGGTAATGCTTACCAAATGCCGTATGAAAGACTGCTTGTTCATTGTTGTGTTGGTGATTTACAGCAGACCACCTAACTTGTAACTCTTTAAACTCAAGTAACTGAAGTTATGTTTAGTATAGGAAGGAGCACGAAACTGTTACGCCGCTTCTCATTGGTGAGTGATATTGTTACCCACCAATCAAATATCATCACACTGCATACCAGAGACGGTTTCAAGATGGCTGACGTTCAGAAGAAACTCCAGGCTGACTTAGAAAAGTATCAGCAATTACAAAAAGGTAACTTTCATTTGGTACCTGTAAGTAAATTGTAATGAAGATAACACGTATGTTAATATTAGCATGACGTCAAATACGTTATTTGTGACCTCGAATCTTCAAGCCCAGCCATTAAATTATAACCATGTGTAAACAGCGATTACATGTGTTTTGGCATGTACCGATGCAGTCGTCAGGTAGGAGCACGGGTGGCACGATTTACCCCAAAACACGCAAAAAGACCCAAAAAGACTCCAAACCACCTAAAAACATCCAGATAAGATTACAAAAAACACAGACGACACTTAAATAATATTCAGTTAATATTATAATGTATCCTCGGGTTACCGGTTTCTGCGCATAAGAAGCATCCGCGATTTCGTACTCATAGTACTCATATCGGCAGAAAACTGTTGAAATTACGGATGAATGTCATAAACATGTATACAATCTACTAATGGGGAAAAAACTAGCAACATAAAACAGTATTTAAAAAAAATCAGAACAAACAATTTTTAACAAATGTCTCCCGTTGGAAGTAGCCGTCATATGTTTCCGTGCGTCTATTTTGATTTAGTGTTCGAAGAAAGGTAACTCGAATACACTAGAAAGAAATTCTCTACAGCGACATGGAAGAACAAAAGCTTCGTTTGGAATAAAAAAATATCTTTGATCGTCAAATTAATTATCAAAACTTTTTTTTTTTAATTTCACATTTTTAATTGATTTTTCAAGATGTCAAATTAAACGAATTCATGTAATTTTATAAAAATATTTATTATATTATTTAGTTATAATATAGAATCTGTTATAAAAAAAAGATCTGCAGTCTTATATCGGTTTTGGTTGATGGTAAGTTATTTCTCATTTTATTCTGTTAAAATTTTTGGTGACAGTTGGAAGTTCATTGCATTACAAGGTTTACGTTTCATTGAAAACACTGTTTATCAATATAAGAATGTCTCCTTTGCTCTTCGGAAGTGGAAAAAAATGGCGAGGAGATGTGGCCTCATTTGCATACAAAATTTTAGTACGTTTGTCAGACTACAAAAAAGACTGGTTCATGAATGAAATATATCACCGTTTTTTCATGTATGGGTTCATTTTGAGTAAGATAAAAAGTGCATTAAGCAAAACTGCATATTTATGCATGTTTTTTAATCAGTGATTGATTCTTATGTTTTCCGGACGAACTTCTGGTAATTTTTGTGTGAGTTTATAGACCAAACGTCTAAAATATCCTTGTGTTGTGTCCAGCAGGTCACGTAGTTACGAGATATAGCTTGATAAAATGGCTGCGCGGAAATACATAATGCGCAGGTCCTGATGACTAGACGATAGTAACCTAATTTTCTGCAAACGTAAAATGGATTGAAATAATCAGAACCTTAAAAAAAATCCACTATGCTTTGTTTTCTTGTTTCTCTTATCTGAATTTCCTTCCTTTCTTATATAACATTACAAAAAAATAAAATACCACTTACAAAAAGAGCAATATTAATTAGTATGAAAGTATGTGTGAAAGTGGAATTCATTATGTATAATGAAATGTATATGTTTTTGTAATATGAAAAATACTTTAAAAAAAACCACAAATAAAATAAAAACAAAAAAAAAACAAGTACATCAAATAATATCCTCTTTAGAGCAAATGCACTTATCAAATACAAAATAAACATAGGCTACCTGTGTAAAATAATGTGGAAAGAGTGAGAAAAATACCATTTTATATAACAAATATCGATCTTCTGTGAATAACTTAGACAAACGGTAAACTTGTTTGCAGGGGAAGTAACTCAAATACGTATAGTTAATATTACTCATGTCACTATAACTATCCAATTAACGGGAAACATCATTATGTTACATAATGCAAGGTAGCAAAAATATAAATATCTATGTATATTTAATGTTTTTGTGTGGTTTTTTGGGTGTTTTGGGGTAAATCGTGCTGCCGGTGGAGCACCGGCAAGTCTAACTATATAGGCAGATTTTGCTATATTGTCAAAATGACTATACGAACATGGGACTTATGTAAACACACAACCCTTTACAGGTCATATAAATGCTGTTTTTATTAATTTTATTTTCTAAATAACATTATTTAAAATATTATCTATTTATTCGTTTTATAGCGATATATCAATCATAGGTGGTGGGCACGTCTATCAAAAAAAATAATAGAATATCTAGTTTTATATATTCAATTATTTTTTTTGATAGACGTGCCCACCACCTATGTATCAATCAATGTAAAATAAATAATAAGTAAAGAAAAGCATTCGAATGAATTATGCAGTTCAAGAGAAAAAACAAATGCTTTTGGTACTGTTGCATTTAATTGCCCCGTCTATGGCATCAGTGTAATGTTGCGGAAAGACTGAGGCCCAGTAGAAGGACTTCATATTTGAAGATGTATTGTTTATCAATGTAACTGTAATTATATGTATAAGAAAAGTTAAGTATATTTATGATTAAATTCCAATTTTATTTTCCGACATGATTTACTTTGCCTGATCCCTCTGAATCGTGTAAAAAAAGAATCACAATAGCCTAAACATATCTGAATTTCCCTCTGGTTTGGTAGTTACTATATACTTCCGGTTTGGGTGGAGAGAAGAAAAGACTGAAAATTTGAACGAAGCTTCAGTTTCTATAACTTTTAATGTCATGAATTTACATAAACACAGAAAAAAAACAAGTAAAGAGATATTTTTGAGAATGTGTAGCAAAGGTAAACAAGCATTGTAAAAATAGGATCGCAGTAACTCTGCTAGATACTTCCGTGACGAAGGTTTTTTGATCGCCTAGTATATCGACGTTACCATGACTACATTTGCTACGTACATGTAACAGGAACAAGAGCTTCGCCGCGAGACGAGCTTCGCTCTTATTATTAATACCTGGACAGATATATTTAATCGATCCCATACCTTGTAACGGAGCAATTAAGCTCGGTGTGAATCACAATGGGGGGATATTACCATTAATTGACAGCTAATGTGTCCTCATCCATACACTGCTTTGTAATTAGCCCAAGATTCCTCTAACCCTGACAGAGTGCACTACTATATGGAAATGTGGAATTCTCCAACAGCGTTTGGTGTCAGAGATTTTGAGGTGCTAACAACAAAAATCAACTATTACACAATGCATACCTCATAGCAATACATATATCGATAACTGGATCCCATAACTTACAAAAATGGCATTCGCACAGGTGGAAAGTTTTGAATGATTGATAAATGAGGACCCTACTGACAGAATTTAGCAGCTGTTGGTGATAATTAGTGTAAAAGATGTGGATTAATTAGGTTGCCTTACAAGCGTCAGCTGTAGGGAATTTCCCTTTAGCTCAGCGGTAGAGCATCAGGCTTGAGAGCCAAGGGTCGCGGTTTCGAGCCCCAGCGACGGCACTATCTTTATCACAATTCCTCGTCCTATTACATAAAAGCAGGTTTGGATCAATAAAGAATCCATTTATCTATATATGTGAGGTTTGTGTTGTGTCGTAGTCAAATTTTGTTGTCAGCAACTCAAAACTCTCTGACACCAAACGGTGTCGGAGAACTCCATGTTTTCATATAGTAGTGCGCTCATGGCCCCACACCAGACATCTTTCTATCCAAATGTCTATGTCAGGGCCAGAGGAAACTCAGGCTAACCAGGGAGATAGGCGCTACACCATCCACCAGGTTTAGCACAATGGGGCATTTGGGTAATAATCCTGCATTTGGGTAACAGTTACTGTTTTGAGTAACAATTTGAATAACATATATGTGCTGTTGTGTCCAACCTGTCCAGGACATGGCAGGTCAAAGTTACGTGATATCCATGATACGCTCCCGTTTTTATTTTCAAATGGGTTGTCATTACAACTTCTTGTCTTTTTTTCAGTCCAATGTGTTCTACTTCATTTTGTTTGCATATTTTGACAAAATTTTGTGTGATCTGTCAATACCCTTTTTATAAACCAGTTCATTACAGTGTATTTATTAATTTAAACTTCTGAAAAATATATAAATTTTGTATCACTGAACTACTTTTGATCAGATTTTTATAACTTCATTGCATGGTATTTAATATTTCTAAAATTAAAACTTTTCAAACCATATTTTACCTTTGTAATCACTGCATGAAGAGATGAGATCAAGCATATTTCTCTCTGTCATAAATTATTATAGGTTATGTTTTAAACAAAGTTTTAGAAAATTTGTATGACAATAACAGAAATCACTTTCACCTTAAACCTCTTATATTGCATTATATATTACATAAATATTTGTATTTATAAAATCAGTTAATTACAAATTTTATTTTTCTAGTATGATGCTGACAAGAGAAATATTAACCCAATATTTATCATAGTAGTGTAGGGAAGTTATAATAGACAGTGACAAAGTATATTATAAAAGTTGTTGAAAAAAAATCAAAAAGCTTCTTGTTATGTTCAAATTGTTATATCAGTCTAAATAAATTTTCTTATAATTAACTGTAACAGGTTTTTATCAGACCTCATTTATAATATAAAAATGAAAAGAAGCATTGAACTATTTCTTCAAAATCATTTAAAATGTCAAAATTAGAACACTTATCATATTTTCAATAACAAACATCCAAACATCCAACAGGCTGTCTGTACACACATGTGATCATAAACAACATGGTTACCTATGCTGAAACTGTAAATAATCGAATTTTCGAAGACCTGTATTTCACCGTTTTTGTTGTATAGGCAACGAGAGTCAAACATTTCATACCTACATTGTGTAAGTTTAGGGCACGGTTTTGACATTACATGCACACAAACTGAAATATTAACAATAGCAAAGTTGTACTCACCACATGGAGTTACATACTGCACTGCTTCCAAAACATGAAACTGATGTGAATGATGGCAGAATCACGACTCCACAAGCTTTCCAAATTTTGTGTGTGTGTGTTCCGATACTTGGCCAACGACTGTATGCAGTTAGCCAGTTATGCTACTGTACATTTCGACTGTTCAGCAGTTATTTACATTATTTACGCTTTGTTCCCTGACCATCCCATACCCCAATATGGAGAAACATCCCAATACATTAAATCAACATACTAACTAATCAGATATCAACATCACAGGTCTTGATCATGCATATTGACCTATACATAAAGTTTCATGTGTACAACACTTTTTATCATCATTTGTTTACATTTGTCTCATACTTATATAAATATTTTAAAACTGTTTCTGTAGCCATGATTTAGGAAATGAAAACACTGTCAAACATGTAATAGAAACATGTTAAAAGTCTCAAAAAATGTACGTAATGAAATTAGAAAAAAAAACTGCCTAACAAAGACAAAATATGGTGCACATTAAATAATGTTTCCCAAATGTAATTTTGAATTTACCTTTTTTCAGACTATCAGAAAGTTGTGAGCCAAAGACAGCAGCTTGATGGTCAGCTAAATGAAAATACTCTTGTAAAAGAGGTGAGTTCACTTTGACAATAAACCACATGTACCTAGTCATTTTTGTCAACTTTATGTCAGTATGGCATTGTCTGGTTGGCTACCTAGCTGACATGACATCTTTTGCCAAGAGCATCACTTCTTTGATACTAAAGGTTTTTTTAAACTTACTCATGTGAACATATTTCAATATATCTAGGTAGCCAACCATTTGTATGAGAGCTGAATATGTTGATAAATATTCATTGTTGAAATCACACTTATATCAATTTAAAAAAGTCTTTGTTTATCATGAAAATTAAAGGTGTATATATTTTCAGAATTTTCATGAATATGTTTATCTATTTTCAGGAATTATGTCGTTTAGAAGAAGGTGCAAATGTTTACAAGATGATTGGGCCTGTCCTGGTAAAGCAGGCTATACCAGAATCGAAGCAAAATGTACAGAAACGAATAGACTACATTACTGGTGAATTGTAAGTCTAATTGTCTTTAAAGTCTTATAAATTCTCTTAACTTATCATATACTGAAGGGTAAATGCAACTAGTTTTTAGGCTCAATGACTTTTTTTCAATTCACCTCGTATAAAGGACCAATATGTGTTATGTTTTCTTTGAACCTCATCAGTCTTGAAAACCATAAACCAGGGGTCATGATATTTGGCCCAAAGGTTGCTGGCTAGAAGTGCTGCATTTTGTGAAGTTATGCTCAAATAAATGACATTGTCCAATTCCTGGTCTTGGATCAAACATGATAAAGTTGTGACAACTTCAGGTTCAAATTTTGATAATCTTTTTCATTATACCCCAAATTCTTGGAATGAAATACTTGTCATGGATAGAAAAGTCCTTATAGGTGCTTAATAAAAATAATAGTGATGATATAAAGAAAACCTTTTAATCAGATGTTTTGATTAAAAACATTTTTGAGATGATACCTTTGCGAAAATATATTTAATGATAGTTTCATTATTTTTTTCAGAAAACGACATGAAACTTCTATCAAAGATTTTGAGAAAAAACAGGAAACATGCCGTGAAAGTTTAGCAAAATATCAACAGCAAATTCAACAAGCACAAGTAAAAGCTGCAGCCCGGAGCTAGTTGATCAAGACAGAGAGTTCTACTGACACAAAATAACAACATGGAGCTAGAGTGACTTCAGTGTAGATTCCCATTCAGACAGGAAAACAAACATGTCAACAGGGTTTATTGGCTTAAAACACGCGATTCTTGGAACTCTATATCAAAATGTGTACTGCTTAAAAACTGATATTACCAGACAGTTGGTAAATGTGGAGGAAGTATGTAATTGTGTTAAGATTTGACAATAATATAATTAAAATTTATAAGAAAACTTTCGGAAAATATAATCTAACCATTTTTTTCACAGTGAACATTGCCAGAAATATTTCTTTAGTTTTAAGAAGATTGTTTTAACAGTTAGCAAGGATCAGATTTACTTTAATGAATATTTATTAGACACATTTGTTGCTGTCATATCAATTGATAGCTTAGGATAAATGTTCTGCATTTAGATAATCATGTAAATGAGACCCAGATGAGGGAAACCATGAGATGTTTCATTGTTCAGATGGCTTCTGATTTACCGAGACTTTTCTTTTTACATCCAGAAAGGATATTAAATTCCATTCTTTTCAAATTTCACTCAGTCTTGGTGTTATTTATTATCTATGAACTATTATTTATCATAAAAAAAAACAATACAATGTAGTGGAAGGCTTTTACAATATATATATATATATAAAAAAAAATGAAATGAGTGTACTTCCTAGTTTTATATTTCATAATGTTCTTAGCTACATTTGTAAGTGTGGTGTGTGGACAAGCATTCACTCAGCATGCTGTTATTCTTCTAATTGGATTAAAAATGGTTGTTTGACATTTGGTCTCCTTCTGTCTGGGATGAAGTTAATTGTTTACATGGTTATTGTACCAAAGATGTGTCACATGTCTATATCATCTGGATGTAGACATACAATCAAAGTTCTCCTGTGATCAAAGTAGAAGGAAAAAAATAACTGGTATTTCAACAAACGAGCAAATTTGGATAGCTGTAGAAACAAAAGGGCCCAGAAATCCCATCTTCCTCCAGAGGTCAAGCATGAGCAGCACGCTCCTTGTTATTATTTTTGATGGAGCAAATGTTTGAAAAGGGTTTCCTGGCAATTTTCAAAAATACTTCCTCATTTACACTTTTCACAGCAGTTACGAAATGAAGGTTGTATTTGCTTAACACAAGTTTATTCCTGTATACCATCCTTAAAGAAGATAAGAATGGAGACTGAATCAAATAATAAAAAGGAGTGTTGTGTAGGTCACTGCTCCCAGCATTGGACAGACTAGAACAGAAATAGCTATTTGTATTACGGAATGTGAACAATCAGCAGAAATAAGTCGTAACAGAGAAACAGTAGATCCAAGGTAAAAAGGGAGCAAGAAAAGGAACTACACGTTGAAGTTGAAATGAAGCCGATGAATCAGTTAGCTGCTGCTGATAATTTAAGTTCTTGATATATAGGTTAGATTTCAGATAAAAAAATGGACTTGAAAGATAGCTTGGTATAATTGGAATAACCAAAGTAAATTTGAAGCAATATCTTCTTACCTTGGAATTCTCATTGGAGTAGTCATTGAACTGTTAGTTACTGAAACTAGAGCGAAATCTGAACTAAATATGTTCGGATTTGGAAGGATAAGCTCTACTGCTTCATCTGCGATACCACTATGTAAATCAAGGTTAGATCAAAGTAGCGTCCCTGCGTCAAAGGTAGTAACAATGAAACATTGAGGCACACTAAGAGTAGAATGTAAAACATCTACCTGCATATCACACAAGGAAATAGAACATTTCTCAATAAAGTCATGATGGTGATTGTTAAGAGTGAAATAACAATTTTAACAATGTTACCCAGTGCAGGGAGATATCAATTTTACAGCTGTTGGGCACCTGGCTTGGTGGCCGTTTACATATGTCAGATAAGGTTAATTGATGACCTCCAGGCGCGTAGCTACCATGTAAGCCAATAAGCCCGGGCTTGCACATAATTTTGACAAGTATAGGTTTTCATGACGTTTTTTCTTTTCTTACTGATACTATAAAATGGAGTTTAAGTTTTGAATATATAGTATACGTATGTAATTCCTCAGATATGATACATTGTTAATAGTTAGTGGGGCAACCTCGCTTCTCGAAATGACCAACAAATAACAGGAGCAAGTATAAGGAACCAGTTACAAAGCCCAAACAGGAGACGAAACTGTGTGGGAGACTGAGTAAGGGTGACAGTGGGGGTAATCTTGCTTCCCAATTAACTCGGATCAGATTATGAGAAAGACAAACCCAATTGCAGGTTCATTAATGCAGAAGTATCAAATGCATTTATCAAGATTAGGTAAAAACCAGACAATGTATGTATGGAGGGTGCACAAAGCAATACCGACGGTTAATCTTCAGAATTACACTGGATCCACGTAAATAGGTATATAGATATAGATTGAGTTTTTTCTTGCGGATTAAAACGAGGAAACAGACATCAATACGTGGTAAATGGCTCCTGAGACGTTCTAGAAAACAAAATGTTCGTGGGGGAGACCCCCAGACCCCCCTTAAAAGGGTGGGTGGGTGGAAGACCCCCTCCCATACTCTCCCCCTGCTCGCGCTTCGGGGGGGGGGGGGGGCTGCCTTCGGCAACCCTATGTCGGGCTTACACATGGTAAAGGAGCTAGCTACGCGCCTGACCTCTACGGACTAAGGGATGTATATTGAGAGTATCCTGTATGTAACAAGTCAGTTCCATCGTAAGCCTCTGAGCTAGGCACACGTCTACGCTTACCTTCAAGTCTAATACAACATAGTACCAGACGATTGGAGTTTATTGTTTGTACTACAGTATCTGGGACTGTGTGGGTAACAGTGACCATATAACTTGCCTATGTCCTTCATTAACCGACATGTTTCAAAATCTTCAGATGTAAATGTGTTCATCAGCAATCAACAGCAAAACATACAGGACTCGATACTGGTATCACTGAGCTGCATATAATGCAGATCTTAGCTCGATGCCAGGATTGTTATCGGAATTAGGAGGGATGTTACAGACAGAAAGGACAGTAGAGGACACGGAATATAAAATAAAACTACATTAAATAGGAGGAACATTTAAACTTAATAACATCCCAGAAGACGTTAATGCAGTCTAGATGAACTGACTGACCACACAGACGCTAGGCTGTTTCAATTATGTAAATTAAGGCTCCTATTGGAAGTAGCAAAGGCGTTTCCGTGGAAAACTATCTTTGCTACTTCTTACAAGTCTGGTGTAGAGTAGAGGATGGTATGTTATGGTAGATTTCTATGTACGTAATCCATGCTAATTGTTATTGTGTAATTTACCACGACTCTGTGTTTCTAAACACCTTTTAGAGTAAACGGAACAGAGTCCTATTTATAGAAGACCTATATCGGAAACATTTGGGAGTATTCAATAGTGGTCTGGATCGCAGTTCAGTTTTTAACACGTTTGACCTCTTGAGACAATAGCGTTTTGTAGACCAAACCGATAGCCTTTAAATCTAGAACATTAAGGCCAAATTTCTTTCCTTTCAAAAAGAATTGACCACTCTTAAGATTTTTTTTGTTTGAACCCCGTGACATTGAAAGTAGGACTAGGTACTCATTTGATATGTTAACCTAAGTGACCTGAGAAATTGTTACAGCAATATTTGGACATAAACTAATGTGTTCAGAGTAATTTTACACGTTTTAAGGGTTTAGATCAACTTTCGGTAAAAATGCCACCTCAAATGATGTAATATACGCCATGGCACATTACTTTAGGTCCAAATATGTGCAGGTCCCTGTGAAATCAGTTACGCACCATCGTACTTGTTCCGCCAGGCATTGTAATCGTTTAAGGGGAAAACAACAGAAATAAGAATCGTCAGACTAGTGATAACGTACCACGACATGAAAAGTCGAACTGAAAGTAGTTGAATTCAAACTACAAAAGCTCGTTGAAGTGTCATCTTCAGTGCATTTTAGCTTCTAGAAATTTAAATTTATCAGAGATTGATTTGTACGATTTCCCATTTTGAAAATTATTTATATAGCAAATATGCGTGGAAGGGAATTATCATGTGTTTGATTGTGCCATTTTATGTGTGTTCTGAACGTCGTTCATCCACGTATTCATTCTTCCCGTACATTTTATATAAAAAATATCCTATACACATTTATATTCTATCATATATATCTGTTTAACTTAAATATTAGTTCTTATATTTCAACTGAATTTCTTTTACTGACGTTGCTATGTTTCTTTTATGTCAACCTTACCCCGTCACATATCATTGTTCTATTATGTAAGTAGTCATATAGCTGTTGTCTAGTTCTTTATTTATTTTGACAAAATAATTAATCCGATTTTCGAAATTCAAATGCTATATTGTTCAAGAGTAGTAAGTAAATGATGCAAATTTCAGTAAACTTGTCTGTTTCCAGACTCGGGAGCACTCCCGGCTACCGAGGGATTCCCAATGCCCTATATCTCTACATGTTTTATTTCACGTGCATGTCGCCTTCGTTATCTCTAGCCGTCTCCCTTGGTTCTAGGTTCTGACAATTTTTCTGTTAATTAACTAATACCTACTGCTTCTTTTAAACCAATTAAACCAAGGTTACATGATAGCCATATGTCCATTACCGAGAGACAAGTTTGCGTGTATATGTATGCAGTGACAGTCCTTTCTAAACGGTCGATATTGGCTACCCATAATATACAATAAACAATGAAAACGAAACAGGAACGAGTGCCTTTGTTATAATCGCATACTTTATTGAGTGCAATTTCAAGACGCTTGTAAACACAGTTATAAGAGAAGTAACAGCCTGGCGAATTATATTGCTTGGATTACTCGTGTTCCATGTACCATTTCTTTTTCATATAAATGCACCAAAAGATATTCCAAATTTCTTTTCTTTCTTACATCATTTGCTTCCCAAAAGGTCGAACACGTGCATTGGCTGATGACAATGGATAACGTTACTGCAATAAAGAATACAGCTCAAACTGACATGATTTAAATGATGCTATACTACATGACCAAACAAACAGCTATGAGTGATCCAACCTTTACACAGGTAACATCTAGATCTGTGACTGGTTCTCACAAGAAAAACGACTCTCACACATAGTGTGACGCGGGGAAGATTTTATGATGCGTGTTATCACTGGAAGTGGAATACCCTGAGCTGGAGTCAGTGGAAGAGTTCTTTTTATCGCCACTTATCTTGACCATTACTCTGAACTTACAACTGCAGCAGACCTTTTGCAAGAACTGTTTATAGCCATCACGAAAATTCCTGTTCGTTGCGCCGTAAAGGATGCTGTTTAAAGAACTGTTGAAATGACCAATCTGGAGAAATACTGTATAGAGCCACGATGGCCAACGATCACCGCGGTCGAAAAACAATGTGAGGTCATAAGGCGTCCAGCAGATGAGGAAAGTGAGAAATACAATAAAAAATGTCCGGGCTAAATTGACGTTATCTCTTTGCCGTTTGGTTTTCTTCTTTTCCTTTTTCGTTTGTTTTTTCATCTGTTTTTCCATCTGTTTTCTAGATTTCTTTACGTAAAAGTAAATGTTTAGATAACAGAACATGATAACCAAAAGAGGCAACCAAAGTGCCATCACACTTAGGAAAATTGTGTATGATAGGGAAATCAGTCTGTCGAAGGAACATCCGAGTGTTTTAAGGTCGAATGTATGTCCTCCCCATCCAGTCAAGTTCGGCAGTTCAATGAGGAATGCAAGGAACCAGACGAGCACACAAAGAAGGAAAGTCTTGTTTTTGGTGAAAATCTGGTTGTAGTAATGGTTCTTGTTGATCATGATATATCTGGAGAGAAAAAAAATATATTAATGAAACAACGAGGACAACTTCTGGTATAAAAATGGCTTCGATGTAAAAACAATTTTGTTTCTAATTACCGACCTAAACTTCAAAGTGTTGGGTCGATAAACGCCAACAGAGAAAAGTTAACTGTTTGCCTCAGTATAGATAGGTTCTATGCACGAATATTTCAGTGAACATCCATCCTGATATAGTTAATTAGGGCATGACCTTCTTCATAGAATTTACACAGAGTCTGATTCACCCGTCAACTACGTCCCTAATACATAAGATAGGTTATAAAAGTTGTTTTTCTACCGGAATATTTTCGTTTACGTAATGGTCCTGTTCTATTTTGTGTTTGCACTGTAATCTTCCCTAACACGTAATACACTGAACAATTTTGTAAACAGATCAAACTTAATATTTGCATGTTAAATTATTTACTATCAAATAAACTCACGTTTGTTTACGCTATTGAAATCATTTATTTTGTGAATTTCGTTTCACTACCCGCTTTTCTAGACCTGTTTCAAACAAAATGCAGTTCGTGAAATGAATACTATGATGATGATTATTTTGCGGTCGACTCTGCTACTGAACTCAATATATATTGTAAGTGCATGTAAGTATCACTACAGAGATAGTCGTTATCTTATGTTCGAGCTAATTTATTTTGTTTTGTTTTGTAAAATGATAAATAATTTGAGAGAAGAAAACTTGACATGTCATACAATTGTCCTTTAAGCGTTAGTCAAATGGGGGAAACGTAAACATGCAAACACAAGACCGCCTATTTGAATATATTTAGGGTTAGGCAGATGTTTTGACCTATTGACCCCTGCCATATGAACACTACTGCTACGTAAATGTGCGTCATTGCCCATCAACAAGATACTCTTAGTCCTCTACAGGAAGAAGATACTCAGAAGGGATACTTGACAATAAACAAGGGTCGTTGTTGACCAAGTGAACTTCGTATCGTTTTGACTGAAATACTGCGTAGGAGAGAAACATTTGAAACTCTTTCGCCACGTATGGTTGGGAAGACTCTACGACAAACATGTAAATAATTATGTTCTCACATTTAGTTCATAGGCAACCAGATAAGGGAATTATTTTAAACACATAGAAACTCTATTAATTGTTCTACAATTAATTACAGTACCTAAGCAGCGACAATTACACGGTTAGTTAATAATAAAAATATTTAGCCATATGGTTGTGGTAGTTTTATACATGTAGCTGGAAGTGGTACGGGGAACCTTTATATATTTGTGTTACTATATTATCACGCTTACCATAATGCAAATCGCAAATATGTTATATTCACTTCATATAGTATTATGTTATACAGGATATTGTTGACGTTACATGCATTCTGTAATAGTCAATATAATTCCCCTAGTTTTCTACCACGACTTTTCTTAAAACATCATCATATCTGACCGAATGAGTCGGTTCTTTTGAGCCTATATTCAGGAAAGTAAAGTTTGGATATTTACGAATTATTGAGAAAGAAATGCGCACACAGTAGACAACATTCGAATGAAAAAAATGATTTTTTTATCTACTTTACAACAATAATAAAACAAGTTATATACACTAATATTAATCACTTTTGTTGGCCTAGATGGTAACACGCAATGATCAATCAAGTCCACAAACCCGATGAAAGAGGGTGAAACGAACAATAAACAATAAAGGAAGAGATAAGCACTGTGATTTCCCTCTATATTGTTCATTTATTAATCATTTGTTAGTTAAGCATTCTCTTTATAATGTTATAATCATGATTCGTCATTTTTAGAGCGTTCGAGAAACTGTTCATTTATTTATAATCCAAACTCATTTTTCATCGCGTTTCTATAGCTAATTTTACAAGGCCCCCATTGCACTTTTTTTCGGGGTAAAGCGTTCTGACATGCTGGTGGTCAAAGTAAATGACCTATCGCAAGGATTCAGCGACCAGATATCTACAAATAACATCATTACGTCAAAAGCTGTGATAATTACGGCTGTTTAGAGATAAGACACACACGCCAATTTACTGCCTAAAAATTCCCGAAGTACATTATGCCGTTCCATTATAAAATCAATTAATCACAGCGGCTGCAGACGAGAAACAGGTGATAAGGACTGGGTTCAAATGTACGTAGCCGAGTAGGATCCTACGAGGACGAGAAGGAAATTCCTCCAAGGAATACTGAGTAAAGACAATACATGTAACCTACGCGTTGATTGTGGTATATGGTATTTCAGTGTAAGGCACCGTCTAACTTAAACATATGAACCAGATGTTTTATTTTAATTTTATCAATGCGAGCCTTGGTGGTAATTAGATTATGTTCAAATGATTTAACGGGAAGCGTAAAGTTACATCGTTGTACTCGAACAAACGACATTTAGCACAATTAATTTTAATCACACGGATAAGAATTTTAAGTTGAAACAACAAATCCAAATTACACGTAGAGAAGGTGGCACGAACAAAAGTATTATGAGTTTATTATTTTGTCGCTTTATGTATAGACAGAAATAATTATGGTTCAATGAATCATAAAATTAGTATCTGCCACGAAGATAGCGCCCTGCAAAAACACACACACATATTTCGTTAAAATCAAACCAGGAAGTTTGGAAAGGGAGGCATGACGGCATCCGTTAAGACAATTGTTCATAAAACAGACACTTAAATCCAGGATAGAGGGTGAAGGAGAATATGCAAACTCGGCTATCAACAAGGACATAAATCAAGGAATCAAAAATCTATCTAAGGAACTGTTACTGCAATTACTCGCCTATTCATGGAAACTGAAAGTATAGGACATGCAGCTTATCAGGAAGTGGGAAAACATTTGCCAGCTCGAGATGTTTCGCATTGCTTCCCTCTTCATACTGCAAAACTAATAATCATGTCTGGTCTTTCCGTTTTAATGAACCAGTCGGTTGTAGTGTCTTGTAATGTGTATTCAGGTCACGATCAAGCTATGGAGTACTTGCATACAATACAAAAAAAAAAAAAAATAATAATAATACATGCTCACGTCTTTATACCTAAACCATTAAGTAAAATATTCAAATAAAGAGACAGCGAATTATCCTAGACAAAGGTTACCTGTTCACAGAAATGGCGGCGAGGTTCATCATAGACGATGAACACGACATTACGCACACCACAGACAAGGTATGACACCACCAGACGTTCCGCACGAAAAACTCGGGTCCATCAATGACACCTGTAACATAGCAACATGAAAAAGGATTGTCATACTTTTGGGCCCCAAGTAGTAATTAGCTTAATCAGTGTTTACCACAGGTTTCATATTTTGTGTATTTTTAAAACTCAACCATTAACCGAGTAAAATTTTCCAAATATTTTAGAAGCAAAAATTCCTTGAGAAAGTTCAAGTTTTTAACCTTGTATATTGACAAAGCTATTAATTGTTGAACAATATCGTTAACCAGTGATTAAGCTAATCACCTATTGAACCTCTGGGCCCTGGTCTGGGTATTAAACAGAGAATGAACCCAATTGGCCATTATACTCTGGTGATACGAATTCGTTGACAGTAGTGTTACTCAAAGAGTCAAATAATCACTTGAAATACGGAGAAAGGAATAATTTTTTGATATTTTGTTTTGTTTGTTAATGCAGAAAGCCAAACACAGTAAACGATCCCTGAACCATACATAACGTTGCAAAATTTCAACTATGTTAGACTAGATAATGTATTTTAAACCAGAATTCATGTAAACCGTAACAGATTTAATGAGAGCTAAATATTACAACCTTTTATAATTCATCAGCAGGTCCATCTACTTTCTGACGTAAAAGTTAGAAAACACCACCTCAAGTTTAATGATGGGTTTGGTCCATTCGTCCATTCAGGACTCATGGATAGTAATAAAACAATACATGTTATAACTTTCCTAGTAGCGTATTAAAGATGTTAAACGAGCAGGAAAGCAAAATAGTGTAGGTATCGTTGGATGTTAAGATTAATTATTCAACATGTCATTTCAATGATACGAAATGGAATAGTATGGTTTTAACCAATGCTCTCCAGTATTACGTTACTCAACTGGATTTTCATCGCTTGTGAATCGGGGATATTTGATGAACGTAACAAATGGAAGGTTTCCAATGATTGGAAAGAGGAGAAGTTGTGTATCAAACGGTGACAAAATAAAGTTAAAGCAAAGAAAGACAATGATATGAAAGGGAACACATAGTTAGGGAAAGGAAGCTCATTAAATGGGAGAAAAAGGGGAGATAACACACTGAAAGAAAGTTTACCGGATTAGGTATAGACGGATAAATAACCCATTGAAGAGGGATCATCCCATTGCAGGGCCTCGTTATAAATAAAACACATAATCATAAGTCTGGAATAAAAGGAGAGATAACACATTGAAAGAAAGAAAAAAAAGAAAGAAAGTTTACCTGGTGTAAGCTTACAAGGATAATTAATTTATTGGGGAGAGTTCATTTAAAGTCTTTAAAGCTACAAGCCAATGGAAATACAGAAAAAAAAACACATTTCAATTCCAACAATTATGCAATGACTTTACTCTAACATATAGGCTTGCTACATCATCAGGTATCCGACATTGAATGTCAACTCGATAATCGAACCCTTATTTCCTGTTTGATGCCTTACCCAGTATGTTGAAAGGTTCCACGATAGTGACAATGATAATATCTGCCACTGCTAGGTTCACGATGAACATGTTTCCTGTCGTCCTTAGTCGTCTACTCACGATCACTGCACCTATCACCTGGAACATAATATACAACCAAGTGTTTAATTTATTTATTGATAAACAACAGCGAACACGGTGTCTGAAACATTCTGGACTATTATGTGAATACATTATCTAAGTTATGGTCAATGTTAATATGTAATCTGTTATAGCCATCAGGAACAGAATTCCCCCCACCCCCATATTTCGTTGAAATCAAACCAGGAAGTTTAGAAAGGGAGGCATGACGGGCATCCGTTAAGACAATTGTTCATAAAACAGACACTTAAATCCAGGATAGAAGAGGGCGAAGGAGAATATGAAACCAGCACTTTACACAATCTCACATAATGAGCTTTTAAGGGCATCATAAGATGGTTAGGCAAAATGTGATTTATTCAATCTTAAAGAAATAGTAGTTAAGAGTGCCATGTCATTCAAACGTGATCAACAAACATACACGAGTAAAATATGTCAGTTTACCATTCAAATGTGAAATGTCATGTTGACAACCAACATCGAATAACAGGTTATGGATAAAATGACTATCGTTACGATCAAATGTATTCGCTAGTTTAGTATGGAGTCAAGTTATTTTGTAACAAATACGTTATGTCGTAAAGATAAACTTGTATTTAAACTTGTTACTCAGATCAGTTAGTTTGTCACATCACATTTCACTTTTAAGACATATTAATTGAACTGTAACTCAGTTTTTGTGGAATTTGTCTCTAGCCGACACTCTCTATTTACTATAATAGATCGACGACCGCAGCAATATTTAATCCTTATATTAGATTAAGCCCTTTTAATACCTTGGCAATGTCTTGTTCCAGTCTACGTACATGCGTTATGTAAGAATATTATCAAACTTAACAATTTTATCACACAATCAGAGTCCGACACATCTACTGAACCACGACTCAAATCCTGACACTAATGACAACAACAAACTCTGCAACTATGTACAAAAATTGATAAGAAATTCCAAACGATTTGACAACGATCTGACAATACCTGAAGTTGTGTCCGGCCCTACGGTCCCTGCTAGACCAACCCCAACTCCCAACCCTACCAAAACGCCCACCCCTACCCAAACTCCCACCCCTACCTAACTACTCCCCAAATCCTACCCCTACCAAACTACTCTCCAACTCCCACCCCTACCCAACTACTCTCCAAATCCCAACCCTACCCAACTACACCCCAAAACCCACCCCTACCCAACTACTCCCTAACTCCCACCCCTACCCAACTACTCTCCAACTCCCACCCCTACCCAACTACTCCCCAATCCTACCCCTACCCATCTACTCCCCAAATCATACCCCTACCCAACTACTCCATAACTCCTACCCCTACCCAACTTCTCTCCAACTCTCACCCTACCCAACTACTCTCCAACTCCCACCCCTACCCAGCTACTCCCCAAATCCTACCCCTACCCAACTACTCCCCAAATCCTACCCCTTCCCAACTACCTTCCAACTCCCACCCCTACCCAACTACTCCCCAAATCCCACCCCTACCCAACTACTCCCTAACTAACTCCTACCCAACTACTCCCTAACTCCTACCCCTACCCAACTATTCTCCAACTCCCACCCCTACCCAACTTCTCCCTAACTCCTACCCCTACCCAGCTACTCCACAAATCCTACCCCTACCCAACTACTCCCCAACTCCCACCCCTACCCAGCTACTCCCCCAATCCTACCCCTACCCAACTACTCCCCAAATCCTCCCCCTTCCCAACTACCTTCCAACTCCTACCCCTACCCAACTACCCCCTAACCCCTACCCCTACCCAACTACTCCCCAAATCCTGCCCCTACCCAACTACTCTCCAACTCCCACCACTACCCAGCTACTCCCCAAATCCTACCCCTCCCCAACTACTCCCCAAATCCTACCCCTTCCCAACTACCTTCCAACCCCTACCCCTACCCAACTTCTCCCTAACTCCTACCCCTACCCAGCTACTCCACAAATCCTTCACATACCCAACTACTCCCTAAATCCTACACCTACCCAACTACTCTCCAAATCCTACCCCTACCCAACTACTCCCTAACTCCTACCCCTACCCAACTACTCCACAAATCCTTCACATACCCAACTACTCCCTAAATCCTACACCTACCCAACTACTCTCCAAATCCTACCCCTACCCAACTACTCCCTAACTAACTCCTACCCAACTACTCCCTAACTCCTACCCAACTACTCCCCAAATCCTCCCCCTTCCCAACTACCTTCCAACTCCTACCCCTACCCAACTACTCCCTAACTAACTCCTACCCAACTACTCCCTAACTCCTACCCCTTCCCAACTACCTTCCAACTCCCCCCCCTACCCAACTACTCCCCAAATCCTACCAAACTACTTCCTAACTCCCACCCCTACCCAACTACTCCCTAACTCCTACCCCTTCCCAACTACCTTCCAACTCCTACCCCTACCCAACTTCTCCCTAACTCCTACCCCTTCCCAGCTACTCCACAAATCCTTCACATACCCAACTACTACCTAACTCCTACCCCTACCCAACTACTCCACAAATCCTTCACATACCCAACTACTCCCTAAATCCTACACCTACCCAACTACTCCCCAAATCCCACCCCTACCCAACTACTCCCCAACTCCCACCCCTACCCAACTACTCCCTAACTAACTCCTACCCACCTACTCCCCAAATCCTACCCCTACCCAACTACTCCCTAACTAACTCCTACCCAACTACTCCCTAACTCCTACCCAACTACTCCCCAAATCCTACCCCTACCCAACTACTCCCTAACTAACTCCTACCCAACTACTCCCCAAATCCTACCCCTACCCAACTACTCGTCAACTCCCACCCCTACCCAACTACTACCCAAATCCATACCCCTACCCAACTTCTCCTTAACTCCCACCCCTACCCAACTACTCCCTAACTCCCACCCCTACCCAACTACTCCCTAACTCCCACCCCTACCCAACTACTCCCTTACTCCCACCCCTACCCAACAACTCCCTAACTCCTCTATCAATACTTTGTTCATAACACAAACTATGGTTGTAAATATATGTTTAAGATTTAATACGTTAGCATAACTAGTGTACATTCCTTTTGTTCACATGTGTGCAATAACATTTGTTTAAAAAAAACACACACAAAAATGAAAAAAAAAAGAAAAAAAAACAATGAGGAAAGAAGTGAAGGAAATAAGTAACGTATCCGGTATAAATCTAACACAAGTATACATCAGACAGTAATTTGTTTTATCTCCAAATGTACATTATTGTATGTGGCGTCAGACAATCAACTAAATATCCAATACATTATACCAATAATACGTGTAAAGTTTATGTCCATGAAGAGGCTATCGCAAGTTTAGTATCCTCAGAAGTTTGGACTACATTTCTCAAAAAAAAAATTGTACATATTTTATATAACAAATACAAATCAGGCGTTTGAAACGATTTAATCAAGAGATATTTCCGAAAGTTTAGCGATTCGTCAGCTTATGCTAGAAAACACATCTGTGTGAAATACTTACCAGAATATTTCCAATTAAACCAGTGACAGAGGATATAGATAGAGCCAGCAAGAACAGTATGGACTGTACTGGAGAATGTTCGAGGGGTCTGCTCAAAAATTCATCGGCCGTGTAGTTCCCGTAGCCCTTTTCCACCTGCCTCTGGATGATTAGTTCAAATATTGGGTCCAATTGTTCCTCCATTGCAACCATCTTAAGTTTTCTATGTAGAAATGGCGTCCCTCTCTAGGAATGTACGTATTATGTTTGTTTTATCAAAACAAAATGCAACGTGTCATTAATCACACTTTTGTTTTGTAATACTTTCCTGAAACGTTACAGATACATGTAACTACATGCTCTTTATAGTGATGGAAGTGCTGCTCGCTGCCTTTGTCCTTCGGTTTAACTATGTTTAGTAGTTTCTGTGCTTGTACAAGTATATGTGAATTACTTCTGTTTGTACTCACACACCAGACGTGTAATTTTCCATGTAATTAATGCCTTCAACATACATCATTTCCAGCACAAATTTAGTTTTTAACTTTTTTGTGTGATCCTATTAAGACAGTATTGGAAAGGTTGATTCCTCCCCACGTTTCTGATTGATGCCAGCAGTCCCGAGATGGTATTATCTGTCTGTCCTGTTCAGAAACAAAACAAATTTGCACCATACATCCAATCTTCTAGTAATATAAGTGTATAATAAGGACCACATCGCTGTTTACTAGAGTATTCGGAGGCGTAGGTATGGATACACATTTGGACCACGCATTAAGGCCACACCGCGGTTAACTAGAGTATTCGGAGGCGAATGTATGGATACACATTTGAACCACGCATTGAGGCCACACCGCGGTTAACTAGAGTATTCTGAATTGTTGAAGCTTATTGCTATAAATGTTACAAGTACAGTTGTTTTAAAGTATGGATCAATTCCCTTGATCATCTTGCTATTACCGTTGGGATTCTTTGAAGTACCTAACGGACATGTATACAGTTATAATGATACTTACTAGTGTTAATTTATATATTTTATTTCGAAATGTATTCAAGTCATTGACCTTTTTTCATTATTTATTCGTATGAACAAAAATGATAATTGTTATAAACATAAGTTTTAACTTAATTCAGTTTTGGACAAGGCCAAGATAATAAATTGATGTGTCGATGTTTAGGCTGAAAACCAAAGTGTACTTTGAATAAACTGCGATTAATTGGTCGACCGAAAACCGAAGTGAGCTCTTAATCAACCGCGAAGCATGGCTATCCTTATAATATAATTGAAAAAGACACTTTTTAGTTAATTTCTGAAGATAATTTATTAGTTCCTTGTCAAAAACAATACAATTTTGCACTAAACACAGCAGTGCGCTGTAATTTCATCGTCAAACAACGTCAACTAAGCAGACATTAGAATTACAAATATCGCGCTAAACAAAAGTCCACCAGTGGGGAGTAGCATAATTTAATTATGTAACGCGTGCACTTTTGTTTTCTGTCTATATATCGACGAGCCAATTTATTATTTTGTCCAATTCTTATCATTTAAATATCAGAACTAGAAAAGAAACTAAAAAGCTTTTCTTTAACACAAAAATATGTGTCATTTTCATAAACAATAGCAAACGTATGTTTTTAATGACGTAATGATTTGTAACGCAAATCAAATCAATGTGGTGTTTTAAATCCCCCGCGCGCATGCTATGACTCGATAATCTGGTTGAGCGGGAGCTTCTTATCGCCTGATTAACTCTTTCAAACATTGACGCTAATAAAGCTATACTTTTCTTCAGCTTTGCCAGTCGTCGAGAATTTTTCAATATAATTTGCTCTAAAATCGAGTTATATGCTCTGATTTCCAATGTCGAAAGACGAGGTTGCAGACACTCATTTAAGTCTGACAGATGATTTTACTTTTATCCTAAAAATCCGTGTAAATGTTTTTTGTTAATGTTTAATGTTTATGTAGCTTGATTTACTGCGCATTAAGAACAACACAAATGATTTATCATATTATCTTCTTTATAATTATGTTTATATCAACATTAATGATTTACTATACACTCTAAAGGTTTATAATGTACTTTGACTTATTGTGTGTCAAATCCACACTAATGGTTTATTATGTAACATGACTTATTGTGTGCTAAAGTCCACATTTATGGTTTATTATTAACGTTGTCTTATTATGTGTTTAGATCGACATTGTTGGTTTCTTATGCACTAAAGTGTGGGTTAAGATCCACTTTCAAGTTAAGTTTGTACCTTGACTGATTTAGGGTTAAACTCGACACTAATGGTTTATCATGTACCTTGACTTATTTAGTGTTAACTCGACACTTATGGTTTATTATGTACCTGGACCTATGTAGTGTTAATATCCACACTAATGGTTTATCATGTAACTTGACTTATTTATTGTTAAACTCGACACTAATGTTTTTTATGTACCTTGACTTATCTAGTGTTAATATCCACATTTATGGTATATTATGTACCTTGACTTATTTAGTGTTAAAATCGACACTATTGGTTTATTATTTACCTTAACTTTTTTAGTGTTAAGATCCACACTAATTGTTTATTATTTACTTTGACTTATTTAGTGTTAAACTCGACACTAATGGTTTATTATGTAACTTGACCTATTTAGTGTTAAACTCGACACTAATGGTTTATTATGTACCTTGACTTATTTAGTGTTAAACTCGACACTAATGGTTTATTATTTACCTTGACTTATTTAGTGTTTAGATCCACACTAATGTTTTTTTTTTTTATGTAACTTGACTTATTTAGTGTTAAGATCCACACTAATGGTTTATTATATACCTTGACTTATTTAGTGTTAAACTCGATACTAATGGTTTATTATGTACCTTGACTTATTTAGTGTTTTGATCCACACTAATGGTTTTTTATGTAACTTGACTTAATTAGTGTTAAGATCCACACTAATGGTTTATTATATACCTTGACTTATTTAGTGTTTTGATCCACACTAATGGTTATTTATGTAACTTGACTTAATTAGTGTTCAGATCCACACTAATGGTTTATTATATTCCTTGACTTATTTAGTGTTAAACTCGATACTAATGGTTTATTATGTACCTTGACTTATTTAGTGTTTTGATCCACACTAATGGTTATTTATGTAACTTGACTTAATTAGTGTTAAGATCCACACTAATGGTTTATTATGTACCTTGACTTATTTAGTGTTAAACTCGACACTAATGGTTTATTATGTACCTTGACCTATTTAGTGTTAAGATCCACACTAATGGTTTATTATGTACCTTGACTTATTTAGTGTTAAACTCGACACTAATGGTTTATTATGTACCTTGACTTCTATACGTAAATATCTCCACTAATGGTTTCTGATGTAACTTGCCACGTTGTCTGTTAAAACCCACACTAATTATTATTTATGTTTGCGACAATACAAAGAGCTTATAACCAAGTAAGAGTACACTACATGTAGTATAAATAGAACAATGGACTATATATGAAAGTAGTATCTATCCTTGTCGTATTTCTCTTCCATTTAACATGTCATTTTTAAGTACTTCTATTAATTTCATTTCGAGTTCGTATGGTTTTTGGGGTTAAATATATCAATATGACACAATCTGTTAACACGCTATAGTCGGAATATTATTTCATGGGTTTTCCAAATCTGAGGCCATTTGGAAATACAAGCATTTACACTTATCTAAGGTTCATATTTATATATGTGTATTATAGGAGGAACTAGATATATCAGACCCCCACGTTTCCATAGAAATATCTATACACCGCACACAGATCTTCCCATGTGAGGATGATGTCGCAAACTACTTAGACAGGGTCTGTTTGTGTGACGTCATAATCCACCGGACATGAGAATAACCTACATATTCACCCTCTAGGGCCAAGCTACCATATTTATGTACATGTATATAGCCAAGTGAACATATACAAGGATATTAAATACTTTAATTTTCAGTAGAAACGTGACCATCTTGAATTGTAAAAGAGTACATAATAATGTATGCCCCAAATGAGACAAACTATACCTACTACATTTACATCCTATGTTAAGCATTACAAAATTGTGCGCTCTTTATTTTCTGTCCGGCTTTTCCAAACAAGATGCATTTTATAGAAAAAAAATCTACGGTTTTAATTTAGGTCTGATCTTATATTCTAGTCGTTCTTATATTATTGACCTTAGGTAAGGTAGGTTGTTCACTGTCAAACAGGTATGCACCACAGTAGCTAACATACATTTCGAATTCTACCCCACATCAACACGAACAAGCGTAGTGCTATATGGTTCAGAAAGGCTTGGCGATAAAAAAGACACACAAGATACGTGTTAAAATAATATTTATATATCAATTAAATTCCCTCTCGATACCATTCCTAGACAGCCCACATAAGCCCGTAAGCTTCGAAGACAGATTTTTGTCGAGGTTTGATGTGGGGTAGAATTCGAAATGTCTTTATTTATACCTTTTAATCAATCAATACAAGCTGTCAAAAACTACAAGTACCTTTACGGTTATTTACCAATAAAAGATATTAACACAGATATACAAGTAGGAAATAATTTCGTTTTTTATCCAAACTGGTTTAAGGCATCAGTATTTACAGTGAACGACCTTGTTAAAAACCCTAATAATTTGACTTTTTATTCATTTAACGAATTTCTTCATAATTTTCGAATTAACACAAACTTTCTCGAGTACCAAGGACTAGTCCTCATCAGCCAAGCGTTTCCTTAAGAAATATGATTTTCAGATAGAAAGACCATTCCAACCTTTTATACCTCTTCTTTTTGAAATATTCTTCAAGAATAATAAGGCTCTAAAGACTTCTATAACAGCATGATTACATCAGCTTCAACACCTACTGGGGTGAGGAAATGGAATGAGGAGTTTGAGTTTGATATTGATAAATGGCAGAAAATACTTAAAATTCCATTTACAGTCACAAAAAAATCAAAATGGCAGTGGTTTCAAGTTAGAATTATACACCATATTCTAGTTACAGACACTTTTCTTTTCAAAACAAATTTAAATCCTAGTCCCTTATGTAATCTGTGTAATATGGAAAGAGAAACCATAGTTCATTGTTTATGGGAATGTCAAGAAGTGCATGGACTACTGCAGAGACTTGAAACTCTTTGTGACATTCTTCTTATCCCTGTTTTAATAAACAAAGAATCGTTACTTTTTGGAATATTATCACCACGAGCGAGTACTGTTGATAATGAGATTTTAATTCTATCAAACACTATATATATAAGACTAGATGTCTTCACAAATCTTTGAGTCTCAATGCACTTATCAATGTCATCAAAGACCATTTCCGTTGTTAACAATAGTAAAAACAGTTACATAAGAAGAACATTTGAAATTGATTGGAGAAAATGGAAACCTATCCTGGAATTATAACCTGTCATCATATAAATATGTATTTTTACCTGAATCCCAAGCCTTGACCTCTCTCTCTCTCTCTACAAGACTGTCTGTATTGTGTGTGTGAGATGTACAAGTGTGTGTGAGGTGAATGTTTATCAGAATATATGGTGGGATGAGTATTTGTGTATGGTTGTCAATATCTATTTTTATATATATAAGAACATATATATATTAATGGTAGCATGTGACTGATGTATTGATGATTATTGAGGATGCATCTGTTGATGATGATGATGATGATGATGATGATGATAGATTGATAGATTGATAGAATGATGATGA